CGCCAATATGGCGAGGCACCAGAGGGCGTGCCTGGTGTGGGACCCTGGGGGGGGGGCAAGTCCCTGACGGGGATCGACGGCCCGAAAACGGAACGGAAACGGATGATGGTGGTGATGGTGATGATGGTGGTGATGGTGATGGTGGTGGTGATGATGGTGTTGATGGTGGTGATGATGGCGGTGATGGCGGTGATGGTGATGGTGTGATATGATATGATGATATGATATGATGATGATATAAAAAAATTCTACACGACATCATCTGTGATATTGATTTCAACCGTCTTTATTTCTTTTTCAGGCCAACGCCTTGACCGAGTGAGTGCCAATGTTTGCTCCCGGTCCTGTGAGTGAAGCCCGAGGAAGTGAAGAAGACGGCATGGGACAGTGGCTCAGAAGAAGTGCGGTTTGACGATAACATCGACCGCAGGACTTTTGTCGTATTTTTTTGTCGGAAACTTTTTATGTAATAATTTTAATACATGAACTTAAATATATTTGAGAGGAGAGGTGCGGGTTCGATCCCAGCTCTGTGCGCCAGTTTCTGGTCAGAATCGGCAAGGAGGCCGGGCGGTTAAGTACAGCAGAATTGTTGCAGTGAGTTGCGAGTTCGAGACCGCAACAAGCTGTGAATGTTCTGCGATGTTAAGAATCGGCGACAGGCCTACGGCCTAATAAACGCTGAAACCGCTATTATTATTATTATTAAGTGTATTTTAGGATGACTTAAGTTCAAAATTTGTATTAAAATAGCGAAGAGAGTTCATTGAAGTTGTTTATAAGAAATAATGACAAGAGGTATCTAAATTTGAGTCGCTACAGATTATTACGATAGTTTTCTTTAGATCAGGTTTTCTTTAGGCATAGCTAACTACAGGGACATATTAGAAACACTCTTGCGCCTACATATGTTCAATCTTAAGGAATATTAATAAAGGTTTTTGGGATAGGTTATTATATAAGCTATTACACGCGTTTGCCAAAGGAAGTTTGTGATGTTATTCAACTACTAAAAAAATATTACGAAAATGTTTTTTTATCAAAATCAGTGATGTCGCAAATTCTGTCACCTCAGTTGGAACCATATACTACCGGGATTTTCTAGTCCCAATTCTATAATTTTTACCATTAAGATATATTTAATTATTTTTACGGAGATGCAATATTCGGTCCAAGTTCATGATGATTCAGTAGAAAAATACGAATAAAAAGTTGTAGAACACATTGCCGTCACGAAAGGGTTAAAGCAACACTGTTTTTTATTCTCCTTAAATAAGAATGAATACGATCTAGTAATATTTTATTTTTTTAATGAGAAGACATCAGTAATGATAAAAATATTTCGAAGAGCGTTTTAGCCTTTGACAAGGGCCAAGTTTTCGACCTTAGCAGATTTTTGTCCAATAAATTAACAGAAAAAAATTACTGCGTCTTTTGAAAGGTTTAATCGAAAATTTTTTCGTTGCATTCTGCTTTTTATGCGTTAAAAATCAACCAGAATTTAAATAAGCATAAAATAATATGGATGATAATTATTTTTGACCTTAGTTCTGGTTTTGGAAGCTGGAAATCCAAAAACTGCCTGCGCGGCGAGCAGTCGCCAGGTGGTGACGTCATACCTGCCATGGGATGAGATGACGTCATACCTGCCATGGGATGAGGTGACGTCATACCTGCCATGGGATGAGGTGACGTCATACCTGCCATGGGATGAGGTGACGTCATACCTGCCATGGGATGAGGTGACGTCATACCTGCCATGGGACGAGGTGACGTCATACCTGCCATGGGATGAGGTGACGTCATACCTGCCATGGGATGAGGTGACGTCATACCTGTCATGGGACGAGGTGACGTCATACCTGTCATGGGATGAGGTTCTCTGCAAGCGGCGACGAATGCATGAAAATTTTGATCTCGCTGCGTGGTCTTATCATCAGATCAAGATGATATATTTGAAATATTTATTTCCTTATATTTTGAAAGATAAATTTGCCTGATAACGATAGGAAAGTGAACCCGACTAATCAAGAAAATAATGGTAAAAGCTAATTTGTGTTTAACGATTCGCGTGAATCGAGAATCGCGCATGTGAAACCTCATTTTGTCTGATACTCGGCGTAAACTCTTTTCAATATAGCTGTGCACCGTTAAGCTCAACTACTATTGATTTACACTTGACGATCAAGTTAACAGATCCTCGAAAAAACTTTGGCTAAAATATAATTCAATACTCAATCCAGAGCGACTTTATTAATTTGATCAACAGCACTAGAATGAAACGTTAATACCGATTGGACATTCTAATACAGATGAAACATCTGGAGCATCGCACAAATATATTTAAATAATACAGGTTTAAAATTTCATCGCAGTGTCTGAATAGTCGCGGCAGAAACGTCCGGGGCCATACTTTCAAAATTCGCTAAGTGAACGTAAGTATTTACGCTCTATTTTCTTGTCTATGATTGGTGGATTTTGCTTGAAAGGCCGTCAATGATTGGCTGATGAACTTACGATCTCTTAACTTTTTTGAAAGTATGGGCCCAGGACAACAACATACCCATAAGACAGCGATGGCTTAAATGTCAAACATCATTTCAGAAGCACCACGAAAACATCCTTCATCAAATTCCCCTCGATGAGAGAAGTGTAATAATAAACCACAGATTAAACCACTAAAGGAAAGTTATTCAGATGTACACCTGTACTGATTGAGAGCATAAATTCACAAAACTCTATACAAAGAAAATGTTTAAAACGTCATCAAAAACTCAGTTTTTACTATATTGAGTGGCAAGCAGTGTGGGAATTTAACATTCCTTATAAAAAAACTGCACTAAAACAAACCCCCTAAACGCTTAAATAGAATTCGACTTCCACTGCGTAAGCCCTTACGATTCGATAACGTGGGACACCGAACCTGCACCTCAAATAACTTGTTCAACGGTATGCTACTCCACATTGCATGGTAAATAAACGTAAAAACACAATGATCTTCTTACGAACATAAATGGAAAAATCTCTACAAAATACCAGGGCTTGACAAGCAGTTTCGTGGAAATCACTTATATTCGAGAGGCAAGTGAGTTCAGAAGTCTTACAGCAATACGAAATTGCGGCTATAGCACACGTGATACTATAAAATATCGAATAACTTTTTCAATTCGGCCATGAGCTTCCAGTCAGTTTTGGTCAAGTCATCCCTGAAGTATTCCTTGCAGGCATTTATGCTTTCCCGCGATATTTTGCTGACGATTTCATCGGTGACCTCGAAGTGTCGGCCAACCATCTTAGGCGTGGTGCCCGGCGACGGGTCGATCTTGATGCACACGTCCACTCCCTTCTTGGCGATGTCCACGGGCTTGTGGTCGAACTCCATAGACGACACCACGCCGATCTCAACAAACTGTAAGCAGTTGCATATAATAGGTACACATATAACGACGAATGCGCACATGAGCGTCGGATAATTTCGTTGTGAAAACACAAATACAAATGACCTATATACAAGTCAATTGTTACAAATTGTACGCAAGTAATTACTAAATTCTACTAAGTGTTGAAGTGTTTAAAAACTGTTAAATAGCTCCAAACTAATCATAATCAAGCTCTAACTATTTGGTCGAAATTGCAATAAAACTGCGTGATTGTGTACGGCGAACAGACTGTACCAAAACTTCCGGAGACGACAGCTAATCATATATATACACGCAGAATTATGTGGTTAATTGAGTCAAATAAGTCTTTTTGTTGATAAGAATAGCTGGACGACACACCTCCTTTGCAGGAACACAGAGAACTGTGCCGGTTCTGAGGACGCCTTGCTCCACAGTGACACCCAGCACAATCGGATCCCTCTTGTTGAAGATCGCCTACGGATCAAATTGAATAGTATTAGTGGTAAACTTTGGAATACACAGCTTGTGTGTGGCATGCAAACTTTGGAATACACAGCTTGTGTGTGGCATGCAAACTTTGGAATACACAGCTTGTGTGTGTTAGGCATGCGATTAGAAGTCGGTGTGTGAATTCTCAAGAATAGAAACATAACTAAGAATTACTAAGAAATTACATAGGAATTGAGCAACAAGAGGCTGTACTCGAGCTAAACACATTCATATATGATGTCTAGTCTAGAAACAATTATTAACAGAGAAGATATAAAATTAATGCCGAGTTATTAAGGCTTTTAATAAGCTGAAAAGTATGATTGTTTCAGCTACAAGTGAAATAAACATCGTGTAATTGAAAACACCTATTACAAAAATACAAAATGCGTTATTTTTAAGAAAATAGTATCTCTTGGACCACAATGCATAGAATTAAAGAAAGCGCAACACTCACGGTAGGCAGAACTTTAATCTTGCAGGGAAAGATGGCGATGCTGCGGTTCTCTTCTTGCTTCTTCCGTTTGTGCTCCTCCAGGAACTCGACGTAGCGGTCGCCCAGGTGATAAATTGTTTCCTCGGAAAATATGATGACGCCTTCCCGGTCGGCGAGCTCCTGGGCATCTCGATCAACCTGGGACATGGGACATGGGACATGGGACCAGTGAATAAATAATTACAGTAAATAGAGATGAAGCTCCTGGGCATCTCGATCAACCTGTAACATCAACGGTAAGTCAGAGTGCAACTATGACGTATCAGAAGTTATTACTGCAAATAGAGTGGGCATCTAGATCAACCTGGGACATGGGGCATGGGACATGGGACATGGGACCAGTGAATAAATAATTACAGTAAATAGAGATGAAATTTCACTCAACTAGTGGAGGGAATATACTCAGGAACGAACATTGCAGCACAGAGCAAATTCAATTCGACATTCAAATCTCTCAAAGTTGTGGTTGAACTAAGACGACACGAGGACTTCTGATCATTTAACAGGCAAGAGAAGGAAGAAGTAGCTGCGGACGGCAGGATGGTCAGTCTGTTACAGATGATATTAAGTTATTACTCCTATGAGGGTGTTAAGACACACTGCTTTATAATTACAAGGCTTGCACCTATTATACCCCTTTCACCTTGACATCGAAGGCAAGAATGACGGCATATTTATCATCATGTTCTAGCATGGCTGCCGCCTTCATCACATCGCGTTTAACAACGGGCCCGACGCGAATGCCTGAATAAGGTATGCCCTTGGTCTTGAAGAACTCGAGCAGCGCTTCCAGGGCTCCGAGAGTCGACGCTTGCACGTACACGCCTCTGTCTTTCACCTGAAATATGAGGAATTTATTGCTTCACTGTTGCTACCTCAAACAAAATATTATAATTGCAAATGTTGTAATCGTGAGAAAACCACGGCGGCCCCAACTAGGTAGCAAAGAATGAGGAAGATGGAATGAAAGAGTTTTATGGAAAGAGAATCTCGTAAAAAAACAGTTGCTACCTCTAACAAAATATTCTAAATGCAAATATTGCAATCGTGAGAAAACCACGGCGGCCCCAACTAGGTAGCTGAGAATGAGGAAGATGGAATGAAAGAGTTTTATGTAAAGAGAATCTCGTAAAAAAATTGTTTAACTTGTGCAAAATGAAAACTGGAACAGCCAAATTCTTCACTAGTATTTATGGCTGAAGGCAACGGCAGATACACGAACCTTAATGGCCTTCATAGCCAATGTGAAGTCCTTGTGCACAACCTCCTTCAGTACGCTGATCTCGTCTTCGTGTTGTGCCACACGCAAACTTAGGCCAGCAATGGCTTTATCTAACTCCTTGGCTGCTATTTTTACCCCTTGCGCCGCCTTAATTTCCTTGAACTCATCATACGACCCCTTGACACGGATCTCTTTCAATGGTTTTGGCATCAGCAATGACCTGGACACAAGTGATAATAAAAGTAACTAAAGGGCAATAAATTTTATAAACACTACAAAGTTTTGGCATCAGCAATGACCTGGACACAAATGATAATAAAAGTAACTAAAGGGCAATAAATTTTATAAACACTACAAAGTTTTGGCATCAGCAATAACCTGGACACAAATGATAATTAAAGTGCATGTTAAATAGGCAATAAATTTTATGAACACTACAATGGTTTTGGCATCAGCAATGACCTGGACACAAAGTGATGATAAAAGTAACTAAAGGGCAATAAATTTTATAAACACTACAAAGTTTTGGCATCAGCAATAACCTGGACACAAATGATAATAAAAGTGCATGTTAAAAGGGCAATAAATTTTATGAACACTACAAAACATGCATCTTGGAGCCACAGATATCTATGAGCGACATCGTTACAATATTCATAGTTAGTTAGTTTAGTGGCCAAATGTTTACTAGCGCTTCAGCTATTTAACTATCTCGCACCGAAAGTCAAAATGAACATCACCATAGAGGTGGAAGGTCATAAAAATTGTTTCGAATATGAAGGACGACTGAATCAAACAATTAAAGTGTACAAATCCCACCTGATTTGAGTGCACCGTTACAATATTCATAAAATTAGTTTTGAATATGAAGGACGACTGAATAAAACAATAAAATTTTAAAAAGCCCACCTGATTTGAGTGACAATAGGTCCTTCAGTGCCGGCCAGGACAATATTGTCTCCCTCACGCAACCTCCCGTTAACAAGAATGACGTCGATGGTAGTGCCGTAGCCTTGAATGGTCTTGACTTCAAGCACAACGCATTGCAGTTCCTCCGAGTATCGTAGTTGCGGCGCCAGTTTAGCTTGGCACATGGTGCATATTAAGGCAATCAAGTTGCCCATGCCGTCCCCTGTTATGGCGCTCGTGGGCACCAGGGACACGTAGGTTCGTGGGTCAGGATTCTCGTAAAACAATGCAGCATTCAAACCCTGATGAATAACACAAGCAAAATTATATATATATTCCAACTGCATCAACACTTGAAGAAGTTGCCCTGGAAAGATTTTTTTTTTTGTTAAATTAAACGTTATAGATAGCAAAATATTCAATACCTGCAGAGCACTTCGTACTTCAAAGCACTCGACCACAGCACTTACTGTATGTTGATATAAGCTCAACGACCCAGTAACAATTGTTAGATTTGCGAGATGCGAGCAAGATAAAAAGACCTCACCTACTCATTAAATTTTACATTAATGGTATCAAGATAAAATGAGCTCACCTGGGCCCATAGTTTCAAAAAAAGTTAAGAGATCGTAAGTTCATCAGCCAATCATTGACGGCCTTTCTAGCAAAATCCACCAATCATAGACAAGAAAATAGAGCGTAAGTACTTACGTTCACTTAGCGAGTTTTGAAAGTATGGCACCTGGTCATTAAATTTAACATTAATGGTATCAAGATAAAACAGGCAAGAGAAGGAAGAAGTAGCTGCGGACGGCAGGATGGTCAGTCTGTTACAGATGATACTAAGTTAAAAAAAAATTAAGTTAAGTTAAAGTTAAGTTAAAAAAATTAAATTTTACATTAATGGTATTAATATCAAATGAGCTCACCTGCTCATTGAGTCTAATGGTAATTTCTTTAACTCGCCGCTCGAAATCATTCTTAGCAAATTCAGCTTGTGCTTGGACCACCTCCTTGATGTCTTTGTGCTGGTTGCCCTCCCACTCAAACACGCTGAAATGATAACATATATTTAACTTTAAAGATCAAAATAATTAATACCTATCACATAATACGTATCAGGTTATTGAAAAATTTTGTATTGTGGACGGTACGCAACAGAAGTCAAACAGAAAAGCAAACCAATGCATATCAAAAACTTTCATGAACTTAGTTATTCTCAATAACTCCGGTATTGAAGATGAAAAAGAAATAGCAACCACTTGAAAAAAATCAAGTCTCAAGTCAATCACAAAAATACAATTTAAACAAATTTCAGCCAATATTAGAAAATAAGTTAACCATAGAAAAGAGATTGTGCAAAAAAATATGACTTGCCGATCAACTTTATTGAGGGCCACGACAAAAGGAGTTTTGCGCTTCTTGAGAAGCTCGATACTCTCGATGGTCTGTGGCTCAAGGCCCTGGGTGATGTCCACCACCAAGATCGCCATGTCGCACAGCGAGGACCCGCGGCTACGCAAGTTACTGAAGCTCTCGTGCCCAGGCGTGTCGATGATGAGAAGACCGGGGAAGTCAATTTGATCAATGGAAAACGCCTGTCAAAAGATATAATGTTATGTTTCTAACTTCAACAATGTGATAGATGATATCAATGGTAAACGCCTGTCAAAAGATATAATGTTATGTTTCGAACTTCAACAATGTGATAGATGACATCAATGGAAAACGCCTGTCGAAAGATATAATGTTATGTTTCAAACTTCAACAATGTGATAGATGATATCAATGGAAAACGCCTGACAAAAGAAACAACGTTTTCCTCTAACTTCAACAATGTGATAGATGATATCAATGGAAAACGCCTGTCAAAAGATATAATGTTATGTTTCGAACTTCAACAATGTGATAGATGATATCAATGGAAAACGCCTGTCAAAAAAAAAACATGTTATTCTTCCAACTTCAACAATGTTATAGATGATATCAATGGAAAACGCCTGACAAAAAAAAAACAATGTTATGTTTCGAACTTTAACAATGTGATAGATGATATCAATGGAAAACGCCTGTCAAAAATAACAACGTTATGTTTCTTACTTCAACATTCACAATATGATAGATAATATACAGACAAGTAAGATTTTGAATGCATAAATTATATGGAAGAAATGTTTTTCTTAAATTTGATCTTCACCAAACATCGCTAGGTCTGTTTTAGGGACAATTTTTGATTGACAACTTCACAAAAAATATTATTTTCAAGATTGAGCCCAATTTCTACACCTCACATGGGAAATAGATGACGATACAAGAAATTTGATACAGTAAAAGGAATTTGGCCAGCAGGCTAAACTGAACAGCAGTTATCAACACGTCATCATCCCTCACGCGAGTACAATTTTGAAGCTAGGATAATTAATGTTACAGCACCGCAAACTTTGCCCAAATGCTAATAAAAAATATATAACTCAGTACTCACTGCTGTGAGTGACAGAGAGCGCATTTTCACGTTGACGAAAACGTGAAGTTACGGACGGGCGGACAGACAGACGTATAGACGGACGGACGGACATGACGAGTACAATAGTGCATTTTTTCCATAAATGAGAAAATGCGCTAAAAAATATAACTCAGTACTCACTGCAGTGAGTGACAGAGAGCGCATTTTCTCGTTGATGAAAACGTGAAGTCACGGACGAACGGACAGACGGACGAACGGACAGACGGACGAACGGACAGACGGACATGACGAGTACAATAGTGCATTTTTTCCATAAATGAGAAAATGCGCTAAAAAACAGCAGAAGACTCACAGGTTTAACCATCTTGGTCTGGTTGGCGATGGCTTCAGCAGGGACGTTGGTGGCACCGATCTGTTGGGTGATGCCGCCCACCTCGCCTTCTTGCACGTTCGTGCGGCGTAACTTGTCCAGGATTTTGGTCTTGCCATGATCAACGTGGCCCAGCACGCAGATCTGTGGGCAACCCGACAGATTAGGACACTCACAACTGTTAAATGCAGGTAAATGCAATAATATCAATTCGAGATATTGCAAATTCCACATCAATAAAAGATACAGGGCAGGCAACATTCATAATCATTATAATATTTGCACGCAAATCTTTCGTTTTCAACCCACATCGTTTCCAACATCAATGACCAAAAATGATCACTCAAAATTTCAATTTCAGGAGCTCACATATTTGAGAAATAGAAATTTACATTTACATTTCTGACCAGACGAGATCAAAAATGCAAGTTACATAGAAATTACCACTAATACAATTAACAAATCTCTGCCTGATATATTTCTTTAAAAATTAACAACATACTCCTATGTTGCAATAGCACCTACTTGCAGTCTGAAAGACAGATCATCTTGGAAGTTCTGGGCCCATACTTTCAAAAAAAGTTAAGAGATCGTAAGTTCATCAGCCAATCATTGACGGCCTTTCAAAAGTTAAGAGATCGTAAGTTCATCAGCCAATCATTGACGGCCTTTCAAGCAAAATCCACCAATCACAAACAAGAAAAATGGAAAATAGAGCGTAAGTACTTACGTTAACTTAGCGAATTTTGAAAGGTCAAGACTCACCACGGGAGCGCGGAGGACACGTATGTCCCTATTTTTCTCATTGAGCTCTCGCCGTTTCTGGAGGCGAGCGATCACCTTCTCTCTCTGTGACATCTGATCATCTTTCACTTCTTCATCAGATTCTCCTTCATCTTCACTTTCACTGACCTGTGAAATTTATAAAAGGATACTAATTGTCATCGAAATAGCTATTTTGAACTCAGAGCTAAACGGATGTAATGCTTTATAACAGGTAGACAGAGAAACCTTTAAAGAGTGAATAGAAATTGATACACAAAATGTTGGGAGCCTGATCGTAGTTTTAAGGTTCAATGAAAAATGCAGCCACAGCATCACAATCTTATCATTAGAAAATGCCACGTTTAGAGAAAATTACTTTGAGCAAACAGAGAGAACTTCTTAGCTTGAATCAAAGCAGAAATATACCACCTCAAAAATAATACGATTCCAGAGAACAAACCTCTTCTTCAGTGCGACTCTCTTCAACTGCCTCATCCTTTGCAACTTCAAGTTTGGTGCTGGCAGAGGACTCTTCAGTCTCGTCATCCTGGCCTTCTTCTTCCTCTGCCTCCTGCTCATCGTCATTGTCCTCGCCACTGCTGATGTCCCACGAGTCCTTCACGCCGCCCTCCTCCTCCGGCTCCTCTTTAAGCACCGCGCTCTCCACGAGGTGCTCAGCTACAGCAGCTGAAGGTTCAGTGTCCACGAGGTCTGCAGTCTCGCTCCCAGCAACTTGCTTTTCTTCAGCCTTGGACTTCTTTTTAGCAAAGGATTTGGAGCCCAGGCGCGGTGTCTTTTTATCTGCTGCACCGACAACAAGGCCCTGAGCCTGTAAAATTTGATGAAAATATAATAGGTATACTAGCCCAGAGCAGTACATAAAATCTACTCGTACACTACACAAGGAACCTAACGTAAACGCACTTAAATTCATCTCTTTTAATGTGTTAATTCCATCATTGTTTCCTGTCTCTCACAACAATCATTTGCAATCTCCTTGTAGCAATCTCCTTGTAGCACAACACTTAAGTTCCTTGTACACTACAAGGAACCTAAAGTAAACGCACTTATATTCATTTCTTTTAATGTGTTAATTTCATTATTGTTTCCTGTCTCTAACAACAATCATTTGCACACAAGATTATTAGTTATATCGTCAGACCACATGTGATGCATGGTAAGCTGTGCTTGCTGTTATCTACATACTTGGGATTTTTTCTTGCAGAAATACAAGAGTATACATGACAAAACAGCCGGACACCAGCTTTTTTATAGGACAACAGTGTTATCAATGTAAAACAACACAACCCAAAGCTTGAATAGATAACATAAATTTTAATACAAATTCACTAAAACAATAAAAACCACACTAATACTAAGGTAGTTTGTTCAAATTCAAAATACAAGCTGGTATCAACACATAGAAGATTCTGGTAAAATTAATCAAAAACCTTGAGATGTTCCAACATTTCCTGCGCACGCCTCTGGTCGGCCTTCTGCTTGGCAGTCAATAGTTTGCCCTCAGCTTTTAGCCGCTCTTTACGCTCTTTTTCTTTCTGCTTCTTCCTCTCCTTCCTCTCTTCCTCTAAACGCCTATTCTCTTCTTCTATGCGTATCTGAAAATAAAAAAAAAAATCACAGGTAAGTTATTGAATATATATTATGGTTTGGTATCTTCAAGGCCAATTAAGCATAATGTAATATTTCAAAACGATCTTGTCAAATTGAAACACTGAGGTGACAAACATTTAATTTACTAAAATCTATCAACTCACCCTTTCTTCCTCCTGCCTTCTTAATTCCTCTTCTTGTTGACGACGCGCATCCTCTTCTTCCTTTTGTTTCTGCTGCAACTCCTTCATGGCTGCAAGCAACTTCTTGTTGGGGGCATTTTTCTTCTTCTTTTTTTCATCATCTTCTTCTTTCTTCTTCTTATTTTTAGTGGCATCTTTTTTAGGTCGGGTCTCTACCGAGTCATCTTCCTCTTCAGGACTGCTGGTGCCAGATGCTGGTCTCACCTCAGCTGCCTCACTCACAGCCTTCGCATCTAAACTATCCACATTATTTACTTCTGCATCATCAGGACCATCAGTGACAACAGGCTCTTCTATTTCTTTCCCCTTTTTTCTTCTAGTCTTTTTTTGTTTTGTGTCAGGAACTTTTTCTTCTTCAACCACTTCAGGTTCAACAATGGGCTCTGTTGCCCCTGCAGCTGCTCGAGCTTCAGCTAAAATGGCATCAAAATCTTCTTCTTCAACTTCTTGTTTTGCCTTCTTCCCTTTTTTCTTATCTTTTTTAGGAGGGTCTTTCTTAGGGAGATCTTTCTTTGGAGGTTCCTTTTTTGGTGCTTTCTTTTTTACAGCTTTTACACGCTCAGGAGAAGAATTCAACTTGTCTGAATCATTTGAATCTTCATCAGAAACTTCATACTTGATGTTATTTTTCTTTGTTTGTTTTGAAGGATGGTTAATAGTAGGTTTAGTATCACTATCATCACTGTTTGTGTCATCATCACTGACATCCATCATATCACCAGCCAGGGCAGCAAAACCACGGAATTTGCTCTTGACTTGCACTGGCATCTCCTCTTCACTGTCTGAGAGAGCTGGACTGATGTTCTTTGCCTGCAAAATTCAAGCTTGATATATGAAGAAATGTAAATAGAAGCAACAGTTTCTTGATATGTGGACAACAAAAATGTCAAATATCATGCATTTCATTTATAGTCTTACAAAAAGTAATTTTGAAAGCAACAAATTCAGGTGAAATGAATTAAGAAAATATTCTAGCAATTTATGAAATGAATTTAATTTAAACCCCAGGATCTGCAAAGTGGATCAGTGGTTGTTAAAATTATACTTCAGCAAAAATGAATAATGGAAGGAGTTCTTGATGACATAGGGTCATACTGGGCAAGTGGGCATAAGTCCATTATTGGCTTACAGTGCCTATCATTGACATGGGATCAGTGGAGGAGGATATTCAAGAATAAGACATTTGTTACCTTGGATTTAGCCAATGGTTTTGACATTGCTGATCCATTGATGGCAGAGTCAGTTTTTGGATTTGACATCTCTAAAGTCAGAGCTTCCAGCTCATCAGCAACATCATCATACTGTTGTTTCTTTTTGGATTTTTTTGACTTGAGTTTAGCTGTTGTAGCAACTGGAACATCAGCCACTGTGTCTTCATCACTGCATTGTGAAGCATTTTCCACTTCAGCAACACTGTAAACAAAGCAATTTAATAAAATAATTTATTGCAAGTGTCAATACATAAATTAGCGTTTCATGAAGCCAAATGTTTGAGAGTCTAAAAACTCTCTGCTTTGCCACTAGTGACATTGTCCTAGGCCACCAAGGACTAGGGTAAACGCGGTATATTTTGACACATTAAAGATGTAGCAAAAAATGAATGGCTATAAAAAATCACCGTATGAGCAACTCATGTTTTGTTTGCTTTACGTCAATCTCAATACACCACACTACGCGCCAGCAACAATGAAACGTCACAAAATGTTGCCATGTTTATTTAAAAGCCTTTAGAATGCAAACCTACCAAATCCATATATTCCGATGCTGTGTGTGACTAAATTTGGCATTTTGTGAGACTAATTCCGGCCGCACTTCAAACTCTACTAATTCGTTATTCCAACCCTCTTGTATTCAAATTCCAATCGCTGTGTGAGCTGTATTGGAATACAACACAGCTTGGAATTAGTACACAATTGAATATTGAACACTACTTAATTAGGCTTTTAATTAAGAGCTATTAAGCTTTTAATTACGAAATTTTTAATTTTTTCATACACACACAGCTCAGAACTAAACTGTCTCTTAACTTAATCATCTATAAATTTATTTACCACTTGAAATCAGCAAATACAAGTATACTTAAAGGATTACTAATATATTCACAGACTTATTTGAAAGTCTCAAACCATAATATTCTTTCTACACAAACAGTTTATCACTATTTGGTAGAGAAAGGTCAACTATCAACTTTGACACATTTTTCGATGTTCTCACTGGGTGACAAGCACTGTCTCTCTTTGGATCTCAACATTTCCCCACCACACAGCCCAGACCTAGTGTTTAGGCAATAGTATGGCCGCTATGGCGCAGGTGGCGCGCAATAGTACTATAGTAGTAGGTATGACGTCACTATTTCAACCATCAACGAATGCGTGAAACTAAGACAAAGCTTAATATAAAGAAAAAAGTTTAGAAGTATTGGAATTACTCACGATGTCGGAATATACCGTGTGTCGTAATAAAGAACTAGTGCGTGACGTCATGTAGCAAGTTGTAATGAGGTCCGGCTGCGACTAGGTGTTGTCAGTCTCTATGCAATAGCCAGTACGAATGGACCTGACCCCTGCTATTCTATGATGTAAGTGCAACGTTCCTTACCTCTACGAATCTTACTTGTTGACTGTTATATATTTCCCTTGTTACTGTTATGTTATATCGTTCCGTGTTGCGTTTAGAAGTATTTTACATTAGTTGTTATGTTTCCAGGTAACTGGGCATTTGTTCAGTAAAGCTTGGATTGCCCAAGTTTATTCGATCCTTGATCCCACAACAATTACATCCTTTGCTATTTTATTAATTTCATTTATTTTTTACAGCTGGCACGGTAATGTCAAGTCCACATTAACCCGGCCTGTGCTCTTTCCCTTATTAATGATTTTTGGATTTTGTTTTTGCCTACCGCAAATCCTAATTTGTTCATTTGATATTGTTCCTAATAAAATTTAAAACCTTAAAGCTTTCAAACCTTTAATTTAGACAATAATTAGTGCTTCCACAAATATTTATTCATTCTCGTTGTCGTGGCCCTTCCTGTTATAAGAGGGGATAAGTTGCAACTCGCGGTGCGCTGAGACTCACACGATAACAGTGGCGTCTCCGACTCTTTCTAAAAAAAATTCTATTGTTCTGTATTTATTTTCAATCCAATAGTAATTCTAAAGTTCATGTAACATGCCAGATGATAACGTTTGCATCTCATTTTTGCTTTAAAATTAGTAAGTTTCAATTTAATGGTAATTCTTGATTATTATCAATATGTCAAGGTCTGATAAAAAATTCAATATCCGAAGTAAAGGGAATGTTAAGTCAGGGGAACTGGGAGAGCACGGGCACGGGGTGGACTTGGCGGCGGACTCGGTGGCTGATGAGATGGACGCAGCTGGGGAGCTCCAGGTTGCGACGATCCCGACAAGAGGCCCAGCTGACAATGAGCGTGAGATGGTCCTGACGACGTCTACAGCCGTCAGACCGGCTGTTCATCCCATAACTTCGGCGGCCTCTATATCATCTGCGGTGATCCAAATGTCGCAATCCGCTCCTCCAGTGACAGCGGTTAACATGGCGCCTGCAATTATTGTTGAAAGATCTTTAACCCAACGAATTGTGGCGATCCAGTCTCTACTCAACCAATTTTGTCACCCCAAAGTTCGCGCGGATTTTGTCAATAACCAATTTGGCTGTCAGATCAACCCCAAGTTACTGCCACGCATTGACGACCTACGCTGGTCACTATCGCCACGCTGGCAGAGTGGTAGCATCATCAACCCTGGTAGAAGGCACTGTGAGGCAGTTGAACACTTTGATAACTTAATGGCAAGAAGTGATGACTTGTTTCTCACCGACCTCGATGATGCTGAAGGTTGCCTCACGTACAATGAGTGGCTGACGACTCTAGAAACTATTGCTGCAGATCGCTACTGGAGCAAAGTGCCATCGGAAAGCAGATGCACCTACATTGTTCCCAGCGAGCAAGAGGTCAGCGACAGTGATGGTTCTGCTCCACATTCCCAAGAGGCAACATCTGTCGTGGAATTAAAGAGTAACAGAGTGGCGATCCAACAACGAAAATCTCACTCCACGAAGAAGAAATCTCTCAAGAAATCCAAGACTAAACAGAGCAAGATTAACATTGAAGACTTGATTCCCACCTCCAGTGGTCCTTCCTCTGAGTCAGGTAGCAGTGATGAGCACTCGGAGCATGATTCATCGATAGCTGAAGCTCCTATTAGCCAGCAGGTTCAAACGCTATGCGGACATGACGGTCGATCTGTGGTGACGCCACCAGTATTTGAGATGGACGGTCGCATGAGCCTCAAAGATTACCTCCACTCCTTTGAACGATATTTTGATAACAAGTTCAGAGGTAACGAAGTCGACAAAGCCATTGAACTTGGTAAATTTCTGTCAGGAGACTTGCTTCGTGTTTATGAGGTAAAGGGTGGCAAGCGTCAAAAGTACCACATCTTGAAAGAAAATCTGCTGGCCTACTACAAAAAGAAGAAAATTGGTGGAAGAAGCTATTGGAAATCTAAGCTCTTTAATGCTTCACCTGATCTTGACGAGCCTTTCGACATATACGGTATGCGTTTGACAGAACTGGCACGACGTGCATACCCAAACAGTAAGAAGGAATGCGCGTCTCAACTCCGCCACCATTTTCTACAAGCGTTGCCGCCCAACATTCGTGCCAAGATCGCTGATATGGAAGGAGCCGTTAAGATAACTACTGGAGGAAAACAGAAACACTTGTCGTTCTCAGGATTAGTTGAACTGGCGAAAGATATGCAAGAAGCAGGTCTTGCACGGAAGTCCATCATGTGGGCAAGTCAGCCTGCTTCCGGGTCCAGTGCGACGCGAGATTATGGGAACTGTCGCCAAAAGGAGCAGCCCAAGGCTTCCCGCGAGTTTCGTCAGTCTCGACGTCAATCTGATCAAGGAACTTCACAGAATAGAGTCTGTTAGTCGTAAGGAAAACGAAAATAACTCTAAAAAAGATTCATCTAATTTAAACAATAAGAAGGCAATCCCGTATTCACCAAAGAAGAATCAAGATCGTCGAGCTGCCGGAGGGCACAATCAATCTCAGAGCTCAGATGGTAGGTCTCCAGCTGATATCTCTCGATGTTCCTACTGCAGGAAACCTGGCCATAACTTGCCGTTCTCAGGATTAGTTGAACTGGCGAAAGATATGCAAGAAGCAGGTCTTGCGCGGAAGTCCATCATGTGGGCAAGTCAGCCTGCTTCCGGGTCCAGTGCGACGCGAGATTATGGGAACAGTCGCCAAAAGGAGCAGCCCAAGGCTTCGCGCGAGTTTCGTCCGTCTCGACGTCAATCTGATCAAGGAACTTCACAGAATAAAGTCTCTGTTAGTCGGAAGGAAAACGAAAATAACTCTAAAAAAGATTCATCTAATTTGATCAATAAGAAGGCAATCCCGTATTCACCAAAGAAGAATCAAGATCGTCGAGCTGCCGGAGGGCACAACCAATCTCAGAGCTCAGATGGTAGGTCTCCAGCTGATATCTCTCGATGTTCCTACTGCAGGAAACCTGGCCATTTCAAGCGTGATTGCTGGCGATTTTTGAGAGTCTGCTTAATATGTGGCAAATCACACTCCATGGAGGACTGTCCTAAGTTTGACCCCAATTATCGGAACCGCTCGCGTTCTCAAGGCAACAGTAAGGGTTCCTCGTCAAACTGACAAGTCTTACCAATGAGGGCAGATCGGTGAGACGAAATTCGATTGCCCAAGGCTCCAAACAAGTCAACATTGCTACTAATCTGGAAGAGAAGATTGATGAGTACCTGAAATCAACTACTATTACTGACGCGAGCAAAACTTCTGGAACGGAGGAAGACGTTTCGCCTTCATCAGTGGCTCGTGCGAGGGTTGATGGCTCTAACGTGCGCCACATCGAAGAGGTACCTGGTCCGACGCAGCGAGTCCACAATGTGGACGGGGATGCTCCAGGTGAACGCCGTCACGACCGTTCGTCTGTTGCTTGCAAGATGTCTTCACTAGACGGTGACACAGAGTGCATACCCGGAAAGTTAGTAAGTTTGATCAGTGAACAGGTGCGCCTAATGAAGGTTGAAATTCTCATTAATAATATTCCTGTGATTGCAATACTTGATAGTGGAGCCGAAAAATCATTTATTTCTTCTGATTTAGCTCGTGACTTAAAACTTGACATTTCGAAAAGTGAAAGTGTTTTCAGTGCAATTGGTGAGAAAACATTTAAAACTCTTGGCACTGTAAAGACGCCTCTAATGATTCATGGCGTCGAAATGTGCAATATCAATCTTATTGTGTTTCCTACTGTACCAAATAATCTTATTCAATTTGTTTTAGGCATTGATTTTCTTAGAGAAAACAAAATTGAATTGTGTGTAAGTAGACGAATGATCGCTAAGCATTTAGATGGTGGTGGAAGAATTGAAATTTATATCGATCGTTGTGGCACACCATTACATGTCATGTTATGTTCTTTACCATGCTATGCTTCTTCTGCTGTCAGATTGGAACCAGGTAGAGTGCAGCAGGTTCCCGTTTACTATCGCGCGCCCGCTGTTGCGCCTGATCATTTGTTGATGTATTCGGATGAATCTGGTAAGGACAATTTAGATGCAAATGTTCACGGTATCGCTGGATTTTTTAATGTGCAAACTAAATCTATTTTAATGGCGTCTCGTGACCTAAATGTTGATGTGAGGAAGGGTCAGTATGTTGGCACTTTGGACTCGGTATACCAGCTTCCTCACGAAGAGAGTGTGTCTCAATCAAATGAATCGACTAATGATGATATTAGAAACCGAATTGCACTTCCTGAACTTTCAATTAAGCAGCAAACTGAAGTTTTTAACGTTCTTTCAAAATATAAAACTGTTTTTAGTACGGGAGATAACGATGTAGGGGTAGCTAGCGTAACTAGTCATACGATTAAACTGACTGACGAAACTCCCATCTACCAACGTCCCAGACGTTTTCCTCAGCCGATTACCGAGGAGATAGAACGTCAATGTCAGGAGCTCAATGCGTTAGATATTATCGAGCCCAGTGCTTCGCCCTGGTCATCTCCAGTGGTGCCGGTCCGCAAGAGTGATGGCTCGATACGCATGTGCATCGATTATCGTAAATTGAATAAAGTTACTGTACCTGATAAGTTCCCCGTACCAAATCTGTGCGATTCTATTTTCGGTTTACACGGTACTAAATTTTTCACTCGCTTAGACTTAGTTCGAGGGTACTACCAGTTGCCAATTGACGAGAACAGCCGACAGTACACTGCTTTCTCTACCCAGAAAAACCACTGGCAGTTTAAGAGATTAAGTTTTGGTTTACGCAACGCGCCGTCAGCGTTCCAACGTGAAATTCAAGCTGTCTTGAGCACCTTCCCCTCGAACAAGGTCATAGTGTATATTGATGACATTCTTATCATGGGATCAACCTTCCGCGAACATCTTGATCTGGTGTGTAAAGTCCTTGAAACTCTGTTAAGTTATAGTATTAAAATCAAACCCTCGAAATGCGACTGGTTTCGGTCACAAGTGCAGTATCTCGGTCATTTAATCACTACTTCAGGTATTCGGAAGACTCCCGAGTATGTACGTAAGATTGCCGATTATCCCCAGCCAAAGACAGTAGGCGAACTAAGAGAGTTCCTAGGATTTGTTAATTTCCAACGCAAGTTTTTACCAAAATGCTCGGAAACACAAAAACCTCTTTCTTGCCTTACTGGGGGTAGACGTTCTAAGAAGCTAGAGTGGACACCTGAAATGACTAATGCCTTTTCAAAACTGAAGCAGGATATGCAGTCAGACTTAGAGCTGGCTTACCCCGATTACTCGGAAGGTGCTTGTAAACTAGAGCTCTGGGTTGACGCATCCGCTTACGGTGCTGGCGCCTACCTAGCGCAGCTGCAGGGTGAGTCTCACAGGGTTATTGGATTTGCTTCGATGACGTTCACTGGCGCGCAGCTGAATTACTCGACTTTGGAACGTGAGTTGACTGCACTGAGATGGGGCATTAAAACTTTTCGTCCATTCCTGTATGGTGTTCCATTTTTATTGTTTACTGATCACCAGCCATTGGTACACTTGCATAATATGAAGATTGTCTGTTCTCGTTTAGCTCGAACTATTGAGGAATTGTCTGATTTTGTGTTCGAAATACGGTATGTCCCTGGACACTTGAATTCAGCCGCAGATGCGTTGTCCAGGTTAAATTGCCATGTACCTAACCAAGATGTTGCAGATCTTGAACCTGTCCTTCCATTTGGTTTGATGTTGGACGGCCCACCAGTGCCCGGGGGTGGTGACTCACTCTTTGTGAGTCTACTTCGAGCATTGTGCAGTCTTGGGATGGGTAAAAATCTGCCTCGTAGTGAAAATGATTTGAGAACAATGCTCGTTGATGATCTAATGAATAATGCATTGAAGTATAACATCACGCTAGATCGCGAAAGTCGAAAGCAGCTACGTCTTCTGCGTTGTAAGGGTCAGTTGCCTGCACTTGACGTTTTGCTTGCTGCCAGTAGACTTTTTCAGGTTCGCGTTTTTGTTTATTTTTGGTCTACCGAACCAATTGTGTATCAATTTGAAAACTTTAAACGCATTGTTCATCTGCAGTGCGTTAGCGGGATACATTTCAACCCTTTGATTGAGGTGGTTAATTACACTCCTCCTATTGTACCCCAGACTGCTATTAACTCAGTTCACTGTGATGCGGTAGCGTGCATGTCATCGGATGTATTGTGTCCTGAGTCTGATGATGACGATGCTCATGAACTCACTCTGGATCATGTGTATGTCGAAAAAGCTCCTAAATTTTGCGCGCATGTCCCGAGCTCATTGCCTCAAGTTTGTGCATCGTTTGGTGAGCTTCAATACTGTGCAATACTAGATACAGGAGCTGAAATAAGTTTAGTGTCTAAGAGTGTTTTGGAATCACTCGGAACTGATGTAGAATTTAACTTGCTCAATGAACGTGTATGTGACATTGTTGGATTGTCAGGGGTGAGAACACCAATCGAGTACACTGTAGAGTTGAGATTCGACATTGGAACTTACAGTATGCCTGTTAGTCACAAGTTTGCAGTTGTTGATAATTTGGTGTTTCCCTATTGCTTCTTGCTAGGCTTGGACTTCATGATTGAGCATGACATAAGCATTGATCTGGAGAGTAACACTTGTAAGCAAAACTTCAAATCAGTTTCTAAGTTGGGGCCGAAGTCTATTGTCTATAGTCCTTCTATTGCAGAGCACCATCTTTTGCTATTACAAGCTGACTTGGCCTCTTCTCATCAGCTGAGAGCTAAGCTGAGCAGTGATGACCTCAGATTCGAGATTGAGGGAAACTCCACGACCATCAGTGGACTATCATTACTGATGGAAGATGATGCAATCAAGCATGTTCAGTCGAAGTGTCCCGAGGTAGCCTTGCTAAAGGAACATATTGTGAAGGAAACTCCTTGCAAACGTTGGCCTAATATTTTGAAAAGGTTCTCACGACATGCACACAGGTTGTCTGTAATTGATTATACTCTTGTGTATAATGATAATGATGTGTCTCATGTAATCGTTGTACCACTTAATATTGTACTGGAAATCGCCATTGTACTGCATTTTGGTTTTGCCCATGTAGGCAGAGATAAGCTTTTGGACCTAATGACCAATCTTGTATGGCATCCAATGCGATATAGTATTGTTAGTGATATCTGCACTACGTGTCATCAGTGTCAAATTATGAAAATATTTTCAACACCTATTGTACCGCCTACCCTAAAAATTTGCACGAGTTACCCTTTTGAACTTGTTGCTGCAGATTTGGTGTCACTTCCGACGACCTCGGCAGGGTTTCTTGGCTGCTTGGTTGTTGTAGATCATTTCACCAAATGGGTAGCAGCGGTGCCTATAAAGAATAAGAAAGCAGCCACAATTGTTAAATGTTTTGCAGACAATATTTTTCCATTTTTGCCTAGATTGCCCACAAACATCCTTACTGATAATGGGCCAGAATTTACATCTTCCGAATTGAACAAATTTTTGTCAACCTGTAATGTCAATCATAAGCTAACAACCCCGTATTGTTCGAAAAGCAATGGCGCAATTGAGAGAGTTCATCGTTCTATTCAAAACTTTCTAAAGAATCTTGTTGCAGAATCCAATACTTGGGATGTACATCTGTCTAAAGCTATTATAACGTATAATAACACGTATCATTGTGAAATTTGCATGTCACCATCAAAATTTTTGCTGACAAAATCTCATAGAGTGGATGCTGATCCTCCTCTCCAAGGTAAACTGCGTGATACCTGGAAGCTTGGTCACCCAAAATTCATTCCATTCAAAGTTGAGCAGCTGGTTTTGATGAAAGAACAACATAAAGATTTTCGTAATGTAAATAAGTTAAGCCCTAATTTTAGAGGTCCCTTCAGTGTAACTAAGGTGAATGACAATGGCCTAATGTATCAACTCTCTGCCCCAGACTCTAACACTGTTATCAGAGCACATCATTCGCAGTTGCGTCAATATAAAACTGTACCTACCTACATTGCTCAGAATCCATGTTATGTGGAGGTGACGTGCGGCGATGCCGGTATAGGTTCTACTGATTGCTCTAGTGTTGACTTTGTAGACAGTATAGCGCCTAATTTCGTTGATGCGTTGTCTACTGACGAGTCCTCAGTGTCTGGAGGTTCTGATAGGGAGGATGTTGTGTCTTTATGTAACAATAATCCATGTGATGTACCTGCTCAATCTGATAGTGTTTCATGTTCATCATTTTCTGGATTTGATGATTCTGTTGTCCATTCAATTACTGCCAACTCTCAGTCAAGTTCCTCAGGCCGTAGTGTTTTAAGTTCGACCTGCACTGTTGTGGGATTGTGCAGGGGTTGTCATTTTGAAGCCAGACTTGAGGCTAATTCAACCTTTCTTGACAATATTGAGGGGTCTGGGGCGACGGAGGAAATCATGTCTGTAAGACCAGAGGCTCTTGAAGTGGATGTGTCAGGAAATAGTGCGTCAAATGTTCGTATAGATGACGTGTACAAATTAACTGTTCTTGAGTGGGAAGAAGATAATGATTGACAGTTGTCATCATTAGATTCTAACTATATGATTGATGAATCTGGTGAAAATACTGACCCTGAAGTTGCGACATCGGCGCAGGAGAGTCATTTTGAATGTACCAATGAGGAACCAAATTGTATTTCTCCAACGGGTAATGATGCTGATGTTGCGCAGTCTAGTTCTAGCTCAGGAACCCTTGTTGATGAGCAACCAATTCATTCATGCGAGTCGCTTGTTGCTTCTGGAAGTAGTGATTCGTTTTGTGGGTTTGGAGCTAGCCAAACCAGTATAAATAGCTTGCATAAGTTGAATGAAATACGATCTAATGTCATTGATGTTGTAAACACAGAGTTAGATGATTTAGGTGCTAGATCCGAAACTTCACATGTGCAGCATACTCGATCGAGAGGATCTGTGCCTTTACTTCCTAATGTTCAACCTAAAGTATTGGAGCGATCACGTCGTAAGAAGTAATAAAGTTATATTTTATGTCTGTAAATTTTATCTTAGAATTTCATTTAAATCATTGCGAATACAAATATTTTTGCTCTTAGAAAATAAATTTTGAATTGGTAAAATATTTTCTGTGTAATTAGTGTATATAGGTTTGTAAATTTGTTTTACTCAACGTGTCTATCAATAAATTGTAAATATTTACCCAGCTGGCTACAGCACCGATGGTGTAGGGTGGTGTATACAGGACTGTGCACAGATGAGGCTGAGCTAGTGGGGGGGCATGTTGCCGGGAAGCTTTTGTGGCTTGTGTAGCACAGCCTATCTGTGCTTATTTATCCTTGTTATTTGCCTCCGGCCTTGCCTTTACCTCACCTCAATGTCTTTGTCCTCTTTTGTTTCAGTCTCTGTTACAGATATTCATTAACTATAAGCTGAGCCCAATGAATGATACTCAGCTGTGTAACAGAGCGGTCTGACAGTCCTGACCACTCGTGCTTAGCCATGCTGGTTAGTGAATGTTCATCCTTGTATATATATGTTTTGTCCTCATTTTAATTTACTTGTGTTTTCTGTAAATAAGGCATTGGTTCTTGATTTATTATGATTCTTTGATTCATTACATTAACTACTGCATTTTCTCATGATTCCTATTTTAAACAATTAGTCAACTATACTTACTTAATTGTCTATCATTGCATTCTTTAACTGTGTTCACCTTGCAAACCCTTTTGGTTCTTTGTTTTACTTAACTTGTTTTGATTCCATTTAATTATGACTATATCCCTTGCTTGCTTTGTTAAGGTTAACTGATAAGTCCCTTGCCTTTACTGTACCTTGCAATGCTTGATTACTAATTAATCATTTCAATCACAGCTTCTTAAATTATACATCCTTTGCTATTTTATTAATTTCATTTATTTTTTACAGCTGGCACGGTAATGTCAAGTCCACATTAACCCGGCCTGTGCTCTTTCCCTTATTAGTGATTTTTGGATTTTGTTTTTGCCTACCGCAAATCTTAATTTGTTCATTCGATATTGTTCCTAATAAAATTTAAAACCTTAAAGCTTTCAAACCTTAAATTTAGACAATAATTAGTGCTTCCACAAATATTTATTCATTCTCGTTGTCATGGCCCTTCCTGTTATAAGAGGGGATAAGTTGCAACTCGCGGTGCGCTGAGACTCACACGATAACAACGTTGGCGCTCAGCGTTGCAAGGGAAATTCCATTCGAAGGAATGTAGCATCTCCCGAGCGCTAGGCTTAACTGTGCGCGACTCTAGCGTATATAAGGACCTCAGATTTTGCGCCAAGGGTTGTTGGTTCTACGGCGGAGACCGTCACGCACGTGCGTCTGCAGTTAGCGGACGTACAAACGGCTGCGGCCATCAGGCCGGCGGTGTTACCGTTTTCGAACATTGACGGTCGCGAGAAACCCAGACTTATCGAAGCAGCCAAGATTCCTGTGAGCGCGTCAAACATATACAATGGACGGCTAAAACTTTAACATATTATACGGTCAACATCATCACTACGGCTGCGGCTCAGTCGTGAGACAACGCGAGAAGCCACAAATTATCCAGCGGTTATAACACCTGCAGTCACGGAGACTCAACTACAGAGCACGGCGGGCAGTTATCATCGGTGCGGCGCAGTTCTCATCAGAAGAAACAATACGGTCACAACCATCAGCCGCAGTAAACCTACAAGTAATCTACGGCCAGACTGACCGTGAGACATCTATATAGGACAGGAAATTAATGCATCATATTACCAGTTCACTGCAACTCACCCTTAAGGAGCGTTGAAGTTGCTTAGGAAACAGGAGTATGTGGAAGAACCAGAGTATCGGCAGTTTGGCAAGCAGGATTAGGTTGACAATCACTTCAAGGTAAATTGTAATTCAGGCAATGGATGCAGACATTGATAGACAATCAGGTGCAGATAGGCACAAGTTCAAGCATGACCATGCTGGTGCATGTTAAAGGTAGACTGTTTTTCACTGGCAATACTGGACACATGTATTGGTAAAGCCAATAACTAAGATATATGTCTGAAACAAACACAGAAGAAACACACACATTATTGATAACAAAACAAAATTTAAACCACTCCTTCTAAGGGAGAAAACCAGAGGATATTAGGAGGCATGACCTAGAAGTAAGAAAATACACTATGATACAGTACAGCTAATGTTCTGTGACCCTCTTCAACGGTCACCAATTTTACGTGACACAATGACAGAACATACCCCTGCAGAGCTGCACGCAACTTTTCTCCTTGCTATCTGTCAGGTAACTGAAGATATACAAGTTTGAACCTATCGCCCGTACAGCAATCGGGCCAAATCGGCAATTGTGGCCAATGTGTTAAAATAGTCTCTGCTTTGCCAATTGCCACTATGCATCAAACTGCATTAACACATGTTCAGCTTACAGTAAAGACAAATGTTATTGTTGCCGTTAGACTGTTTAAGGGTAAAATTGGAGATTCGAGGTAACATGTGCATGGACTATGTAAATAAATGTGCACCTCATAAATGGCTTTTCATGGTCCAGATATGAAACTCATGGGCCCACGGCTCTAAAAATGGAATCACGGCTCAAAAAAAATGGAATCATGGCTGGCAAATCCATAAAACCATGGCTTGAAAAACTCTATTGTGGCTTGCAAAGTTGAAATATTCAATGCCTGCATGCTGCTTCTGCGTCAGTAACATGATTGACATCCTCATAAGTCATAAGCAACCAAGGCATTTACAGGCTGGCTGCCTGGCATATATGCCAATCACTGCCAAGTGCCAATTGCTGATGTGTTGCTGCCAAGCAGCTGTAGGCGTTTCTCTGACTGAATATATTTGCATTCTTATTTGGATTGTGGACAAGAGACTGGCTTTTACAGTGAAAGTGAGGTTCCTGTGGTAATATCTCTATTCTCTAATCTAATCTCTATGAGTGCATTATTTATGATCTTATTCTGATTCTCAACTGCTAACATTTAATGATTGTTTTTCTTCTTCCCACAGCTAATTTTATGTATAATTTTTAAAATGATTTTGAACCATTTGAAAATAATTTTACTGAGCTGCTTGATTGTTGTCAAATGTTTGGATGTTGACCCAGCTAAAACAAAAGTTTTTGGACTAGGCTTGCATCCTGAAAAAGCTGTATATCCAGTGAGATATTTTTTCATTGAAGCTTATGATTCTGCTGGTATAAGGTAAATTATTTTCTAAACAGTTACTCAGATTTACATTTTTTTAATTTTACATTTTACTTAGGTTTTCTGGAACAAGAAATATGTAAAACTTGAAGTTTATAAAATAATATAAAAATTTATTGTATTAATTGTTACATGTACATTATTGGATAGATTATAATATATACAATATATAATGTTTATTATAATATGTGCAATACAGTATATAAAGCATTTTTTAATATGCACAATTTATTAGTGAAATGCTTTGCATGTAACAAGATAAGTTATTTATTGGTGATGCACCAGTCTGTCTAAAGACTGCATAAGACAGCTGGAAAGTTATAAGCAACTACACCATGTTTAACTGAAAAGACTTCTAAGTAATAATAATATTCACTTTTTACAATGGAAACTAATAGCTTTTGAAACCCTAATGTTGCAAATAAAGTTGTGCTTCTCATCTAGCTCAACCCTTGTCTTTCATTGCTGTTTGTTTTGGTAGTTTGGACACTGTGATTTTGTAAATTTTCATGAATGCTTCTTTTTCCCTCTCTAGTTCAGGCATAGAAATAAAATGACAAATGTAAAGTTCCAAGAATCAGAAGCACAATTCAAGTGTAAAATTGTTATTTAAATTGTTGATAATTGCACCAGCTCAAGAATTTTGGCTGTCTCATCACTTTTGAGGAAGTGAGTGACTATTTACTGCACTTTAATTATTCAATTACCCCATTCATATTAGTGGTATTACACATGTGTCACCTATTTTGCTTATCTAGCATTTGCCAATTAATTTGGTTGATCTTGTTTCATGCTGTATTGGCACTTGGCAGTAATAAAATAACAATTTTACTCATGTCATTACCAAATTTGAAATTAGATTGATGCCAAACTACCAACAAAAAGCAGAAACATGTTTGTACCACATGCAGTAGACATGCAGGTGCACTAATAATTTGTGTTCTATCATCTTTTAACACCACACACTCAAGCCATGAAATATGTTAAACTCTCAATTCATAGATGTAATTTAATTATGTGAATATTTATATTTTAATTGTGTTTGAGTATGAAATTATTTTCTGAATGAAATGAGTTGATTGTCATTTGTCACACAGATTGAACCACTCAGTGGGTGAGAAGGCCTTCAGTGTGCAAGTAGAGGGCGATGTTGACTCGGGCACCTACTGTAGGGTTTGGGTGCAGGTTCTGGATAGATATGATGGCTCTTATATTGTCAGGTAAGCCTTTGTATTTATTAAGATCAATGCAGTCACAGTGAATTTACATTTAGTAGGCACTGCAAATACTGGGTGATTTTTTCCATTTGAATCCGAATACAAATAAATGTATGATGGTGACTTAATAATCTTACTAAGCTTTATTAACTTTATTTATGACTTCATTTTGATTTGTAAAAGTTACTTTCATTATTGATTGAAGTTGAATTTTTGGGGGTAACAACTCACCTATTTAATTTCACCTCTTTTCAAAACATTTTTGTATGCTTCTTAGAAAATAATTTATACTGCTGTGTAAAATATCATTTTATATGTCTTACTTCTTGAATATATGGACTATGGAAACTGCTTATAACTGAAAAATTTATGGATCTAAGTCTTTTGTTAATGTAATGAATAAACTTGTGACACTACTTACATTATTGCAGGTACCGGACATACCAGACATGCCACAACATGCGTATCAATGTTCTCTACCTAAGTCAACATGTCTCAGACTCACCCTATAAAATTTCTGGTAAATTCCTAAATACAATGGCATGAACCCAAGTTATAAAAATTATTAGCTTTAATAACTTAATAATGAGCTGATTGACAACCTCTGCATCTGAGTGGGGGAAATGTTGTCTCTTTAGAGTACCTTGCAGCCTTTTTTAGGTTAGCATTCCATCTTATATTGTGTCTACCTTATTTCCTTTATTACAGTTCACATACCGGTACTTTGAATTGAGAGTGAAGTTAATTCTGCATAAATGATAAAATGCTATAGTTTTACTTTCTTAGTGTTCCTTTTGATGTCAGTTCTTTTCTTCATTACTTAAATTTCACTAGGTGGTAGTTTTCCACTAAAAATGCATTTTTAATTTCAAGTTAACTATGTTTTATATTGTTACTACCATGTGTCTCTAGCAGATGAGACACACTCGTTGTCTGCTTGTAATTTAGAAGATAACTATAAGGGTGAAAGGTTAAGAAAGAATTGGTCCAAAAAATTAGTCAAGAGATCCTGTACAAAATATAATATAACACAAGTGACTGAAATAAACAAAACACAATCTCTATGGGTAGTAATGACTAATAAAAATAATGTAGTAATGGTGATTGATGAGAATGTACTAAAAATTAGAGCATGGGCAGGTGGAGGTGGTACTTGCACCAGTTAACTGCAAAGCCTAACTAAATTAATTTACTAAAATTAACTGATAATATAGGTACTTGATAAGGCTTTGGAACATGAGTAATATTTTAAGGTGACTTGACCACTAATGGGCTATCATGCCACTTGAGCTGATAACATGCTTGAAGCATTAATTAATGGAACCGTAATCAGACGTCATAGGTAATGAAACTATACTATTGAATGAGCTGAAATCCAAACTATATAACACTGAAGTTAATGACTGCAAATAGTTATTTCTAAAGAAATCTTATAATTTGATTTAAAAAATGTTAGAGAATCATGGTGGAACTTGGGAAAAAACATCACAAAATGTAAACAGAATATACCTAAAACAGACTTGAATGAACACGCATATCACAAGCATAGAACAAAAATGCACAAATCAATAAAGTTGCAATGGCAGAGAGTGAAATGAAGAACCAATAGCCTCTATTGAAATACTGTGGAATCAAGCTACAAACATCTTTGAATTTAAGGGACAACATTATCGGTCAACTCACTTAGGCAATGGTCTTGCTTGATAGGAAATTTTCTTCAAAATTAGCAACTCAAACAATTTACACAGTTTCAGATATCATATATACATTGGTACTGGAATATAATTTAGTGCTGGAATTAGATAAGGAAAAGCATTGCATAGTTAATACCTAACTAATAATGGGTTAAAATCAGGTAAATGGGTGAAGGCATTGAAATATGTGCTATATCCCCTGCTAGCTAAATTACGCCTCCCTGTAAAAATATACCTACCTAATATTTTCTTCTTTTCTTCTAGCCTTTGTTTATTAAGGTGTTATGTCTGATGTTAAATTAATGAGAACAGGTCTCTTGTATTATGTACATCACTATAATTTCAAGCAATGTTTTTCAGACTTTTTATGCTGGTAAATGTGTCATGGGATTTTCTATTTCATATATAAAACTTACACATGCAAAAAATGACTAACTTCTCATGATGTTGTTGGATTAATATTTTTCAATGAAATTATTGTGCGTTTTAATTGTATATTGCATTCCACCCTGGACAGAGCCAGTGTATCCAGAGAGCTGCTACTGCCCTGAAGGGACCCTGGAGGAGTGGCTGACAGTGGCAGGTTGTCCAGCATCTGTGCCGCAGGTGGAGGAAGACCTCGCACCCTTCCCTGCCGTGCACTTCAGTGAAGTGCTCAGAGAGGCCAAGGACCGATACTACAGACCTGCAGCTCGCAGCTTCTGTCATTATGTAGTTAAGACAAATGAGGTACATGTTGGCTGTTCCAAGTCTAACTATTCCCCAAAAACATTAAGTTAAGCACGCTAGCATTGATTCAGACTACACTGCTGCCCAGCTGGGATGTGACATGTGAGCACTGTTCTAGTTTTGTATTAGCCTGACGGTTGCCGGAATAGATTACGTTGAAAATTTGAGAATCCTGTTAACCCGAATTCCATCATTCAAATCCTTTTGACTATAATAAACCCAATGTAAGCTAATTGAAGAAAGACACGCTTATGCCATATTTTATATAGATGAAATGAAATTTCAGTTTCATTTCAAAATTTAGATATAAAGTTATGCAAATTCTTAGTCCAATCCTCTCCTTGCAGTTTTGCAATGCTTCAACTGTTCTCCCTTCATGAATAAATTTCAGTTGGATACACGCCCCAAACAACCCTTTATATTGGAGGTGCCAGGACTCAAACACACTAACAATCATTGATAAATATTTAGCTTTAAATTACACGAATTAACTTGTTTAAGGTTCCTGAAATGTTTGCACTTGCATCAGATATACCGCCACTGTTATGGCCAGCACGTCGACTTCAAGATGTTCATGGACAACATGCTGCTATCTATGGCGCGCAAGATGGTCCTGCCTGACACCGAGTTCATCATCAACCTTGGCGATTGGCCACTGGTCGAGAAAAAGGTATGATTTCTCTTTTTACGTGGAAGTAGTTGAGATAAATGTTTTTTAATTATTAGTCAGTCAAAGTTTTTTCAGAGAATGTGTTCATTTGAAATAGTCAAGTCAATGTGGCAATGTGGAGTTTCTGCGATGAATTACCATAATGAGGCATAAGCACTTGAATGTCCGAGAAGTACCTCCTAGTGTTTGCTCAGAGTCATAACTAGGTCATTGATCACTAGCACGTTAGCACGGGCTCTGTAGTTCTACTGTCCCTAATCCCATCAGCACCAATAAAGTTCATGAATTCTAATTGAAATCTCTTTCACGTTTTTCATGGAACATAAAACTTCCATTGGACTATCGTTTCAAAGCATAAAAAAACTAATTTGTCATTTTAAATGGGAATTGTAAGTATCAATTTAAAAATAAAATGAAAATTTTTATGGTCCAACCCTTTCCTCGCACTAAAAAAGTCCTAATTTCCAGGTGTATGAATGTATTTTCCCGATACAACAAATATCCTGTATACGCGCCCCTGAATCCCCTATATATTGCGGCGTCAGGATTCAAACACATGCACAAATTTAAAATATAATATCTATGAAAAGATCAAATTTTGTTGGTGATTGTAATGTTCAAGTATTATTAATGTATGAAATGCTTATAATGCTCAGTAAGTTTCTTATTCTAATCTGATTATATGCAATGATGATATCCATTGAAATTAATTCAACATAACTAAACTCGCTCATTGTGTGCAGCAGTTGCCGCCTATACCCGTGTTCTCGTGGTGCGGGTCAGACGACACGGCCGACATCGTGTTGCCAACTTATGACATTACCGAGACCACGCTAGAGATGATGGGCAGGTCAGCCAGTGTACATCTAGTCAACACAATGGATATCTAGAGTTAAACTCAACTATACCATAGCCGCGCTTTGCGTTTGTTAGCGATAAATGTACTGGCAGTTCATGTTTGGATTATTTCAGTTCATTTACAGGGCTAAGATCTCTAGGCATATTCAACACCGGCGTGATCCATCAATGTATTTAATCTCGAGTGTAAACGCCGTTTGCCACTCATTTATTGGGAATCATAGTGAATATTCGCTACAGGCGACATGCTGGTTCATCAAATAATACTTGAAACGGTTCACTACAATAGTTAATCATTCAGCATCCCAATCTCGAGTTTGAATCTTGTAGCTTCATCGATAAAACAATGGGCTTATAATGATCTCCACTATCCATGCAGACATCAAAAACAACCTTTTTGTCTTATAAATTTCTTGCGTTAACGAATGATTTATTAATTTATTTACTAATGTGTGTCATACAGAAGATATAGTCAACTAAATTCAAACCCTTTAAAACAATCTAGCTGGACAGATTTTACCGAGTCTAATAGGGCAAAGGAATATTCACAATATTTTGGTGAGGTATGATATTGCAACAAATACACACTATTTGACCCAATGCAATATCAGACCTCACCAAAATATACAACATAGCAATAAACAAAAACATCATCCCACACCCATGGAAACTAGCCAAGATCATACCCATACCCAAACCCAACAAAGACACATCCATAGGCTCTTCCTACAGACCAATATCACTCCTCAGTCCCATATCCAAAACATTAGAAAAAATCATACTCAACATCATTCAACCTCTCATTCCACAAATAGCTCACCAACATGGTTTCAAGGGAAATCACTCCACAGTTACAGCCCTACACTCACTTACCCAACACATTACCCGCGGATTCAATCAGAAACAACCACCTTCACGAACCATCACAATAGAAGCACTAGCACAACTCCGTACAAACAAGTCCCCCCTACTACACCAATACCTACACAAGATAGATCCAGCCACACATCCGTCCCCTCTTTGTCCACTCTGTCTCAGACATGATCACAACACCTGCCACCTGTTTGGCTGCTCGGAACTGGTCACGCCCTTGTCGCCCCTGGTTTTGTGGGACTCTCCCATCGAGGCGGCGGGGCTGTTAGCGCGCTGGGGAGAGAGGTTGGGCTGGCCACAGGAATGGGTGTAGGCCCCGTCCCGCACTTGTCGCGGGACGGGGAGGGCGAATAACAACAACAATATTCACAATATATGGAAATAATGCTCTTACTCCGTTACAATAAAATTTTACTGAAACAAGTGAATCACTTAACAAGAATTGAATCTATTAACATTTTCTTTGGTGAACATCCTAATAAACTTATAAGGTGGATTTATACTTCAGCTGCGATGACAAGCACCTCGACAAAAACGGGTTCTCAAGGCCCTGTAGAAGCTTATTTTTATTCTTGGGCACATGGGATGGGGCTGCTTTTGTAGCTGAGGCTTTGGCCCAAGTTATTGTACTCGTTCTTTTCATATGCAGAGTGACGCTGGATATGTTATCGGTGCAGAGCAACAACGCGGTGCCCTGGAGCAAGAAGAAACCCATTGCCTTCTGGCGCGGTCGCGATTCTCGTCAGGAGCGTCTTGACTTGATAAGTCTTGCTCGGGATCACCCTGACCTCTTCAACGTCTCCCTTACTAACTTCTTTTTCTTTCGCGACCAGGAGGAACAGTATGGGCCGAAACAAAAACATGTTTCATTTTTTGAATTTTTCAATGTAAGTAATAAATGTATTTTTATCATTTTGTTCTTCAAGTTGTTTAAATTACATTAGCTACTTTTTAAATCCTGCTGATGGAATGACAAGATATTGTTTTAGAGCAGTCAATTGTACGGTTATTGCAGTCAAACTGATCCTAAAAAATTAGAGGATGGCTTTTCAACATCGCTTCTGCGGTCACTTAACGTGTTTGTGATACCGTACGTTTCCTACAATTATTTATCTATGTTATGTAATGGATGGACTGATGAATTTAACATTAATCATTGAATTGTTTCAGTACAAGTACCAGATAAACATAGACGGCACGGTGGCAGCCTACAGGCTGGGCTACCTCTTGGGCGGTACTGGTGTCGTCCTGAAGCAAGACTCTTCTTATTACGAGCACTTCTACAAGCAGCTGAAGCCCAACGTCCATTACTTGCCCTTCAAGAGAGATCTCTCAGATCTTGTCCAAAAGGTGTCATGGGAAGAATAATTTGGAACGTGTCTCAAAGTTAAATCTTACTTTCTGTTGGTATGAATAGTGAGTATAAACATTCACTGTCGTCCATATTGTTTCTCTATTTCTAAATTTTAGCCTCGTTGCGCTGGGTTTTAACGGAGATTTGAAGAGAAGTAAGCGGAGTGGGAGACTTGTTAGTTTCAGAGAAAGACTTATTTGCTGTACATGTGCAGATCTGTAGTGAAGGGAGTAGGAGACCTATTTGTTTCAGAGAGAGACTCAATTACTGTGCATGTACAGATTTGTAGTGAAGGGAGTAGGAGACTAATTTGTTTCAGAGAGACTCCTTTGCTGTACATGTGCAAATTTGTAGTGAAGGGAGTAGGAGAACTAATTGTTTCAGTAGGAGACTCATTTGCTGTACATGTGCAGATTTGTAGTGAAGGGAGTAGGAGAACCAATTGTTTCAGTAGGAGACTCATTTGCTGTACATGTGCAGATTTGTAGTGAAGGGAGTAGGAGAACTAATTGTTTCATTGGGAGACTCATTTGCTGTTCATGTGCAGATTGAATGGGCTCGTGCCAACGACGACGCCGTGCTTGCAATGAGCAAAGCTGGTCGGCAGTTTGTGCTTGAGAACCTCATGCCTAAGGACATCTTCTGCTACCATGCTGTATTGCTTCAGGTCAAAATATGTTCCTCACATTCGATAGGATTGTTAGTATTTTTATTCAATAAAATTTCTGTTTCTTGGATGGTATTTTGCATGCTTGAGACTCCTGTCAATATAGATCGCAATGCATTTGAAATTAAAATTTAATCTCACTTTACACCGATAATTCTGTAATATTTATATATTTGTATCTAAGCTATTAAATATATTGACCAGCTCTATCGTTAGTTCAAAAATTCTAGAACACAGATACCATCATTTACTGAAGCGGAAATTCAAAAAGTTCATATTTAATCCTAAATTGACAAATAAAATGTGAGTAAGATAAAACCTATATTATCTATTTACAATTTGAGGATATGTTTATTTTTTTGTGGCATATTCTTCGCCTTTAAATTTATGGTTTATCTGGTATTTAAGCAATCTAATGGCATTAATATATTTGTTTTGTTAATCCGTGTTGTATCTGGCTAATAATTGAGTTCTTAAATAAAAAAAAACTAACGTACTACCATACTATCACGTATAGCGCTGACTCGGCAAAGGCCTGGATCCAGTCGGCTGATTTCGTTTATGGGGCGTGCCATTAACGCTGCAGTAGGCGATATTACTCGTGTATTCATAATTGAGTGACTCGCCCACAGAAGTGGTCGCAGCGCTTGACGGAGAAGGTTGTCATTCGGCCAGGCATGGACCACGTGGCGCGAGAGGACAACGAGAAGCGCTTCGGCAGTTGTCAGTGTCACAGACTGTTGGGTCACGATGAGCTATGATCCCACGATGAGCTCGGATGCTCGTTATGAACAAACCAAAGTAAATCGATTCATCTCGAGGAACTTACCATAATTAACATTTTTTAACATACCTTTAACTATATATTGGTGTCTCGTTAGATTGCGCCTTACCAATTTAAATACACGAAACTCCATACTAGCAACAACGAACTAGTTTATTTTTAGTTTCTTTAGTATGTCTTTTATTTCTTGGTTCATTCATGTATAATTTTATTAGATATTTAATACTATATTTTAATATTGCTGATCAGGGTAAGCTTTATCTACGTAATTTATTCAGTTCATTTGGATAATTTTACTTAGTTCTGGTGTTGAGTCTATGAGAGACAGAATTGATGCCACTAAAATAATTTTTTTATGTCCGATTTAGGTTATGATTTTATGTCTTGAACATTTTACTGAGAATCTAAAGCAATAAAAAGGCCAAGTAAATTCGCCATATCTTCATTGTTTCATTAAGAAACGTTTTTATTAAAGATATGGTGGATTTATGTGGCATTTTCATTGCTCTTAAATTCTCTTTGAACTTGCAATTTAAGTAGATTGATAATACAAGTATTTTTATACGATATAACATGTTGACATTGTATTTTGTATTGTTATCATTACTCAAATATTAAGTACAAAACCTTGGTCATACGAACTGCGCATTTTCAATCAGAAACTTACATCATTATTACTTAGGCTTTAACAACGTGGTGCTTCCAATTTTCTTGTGATGTGAATCATTAACCTCTTGAATCCTAATGTTAATGTTGTGAGGTAGATCTGAATAGCTCCTATATCCACCTGATGTGTTTTACTGCGGTTTTTGTGCCCGATTCTGAAATAAAAGAGATCAGATATCCCAATAAATTTTCATTTTACTAGTGAGTGACACATGTATTTGACACATTGAACTTATGAAACTATAGGATATATACCGGGTACGTCGTTTCCATTTATGTAGCCGCAATATTTTATTTTCTTGGTCCATTCAAATGTTTGAATCTCCTTATTTCTTATGCTGTTATATTCAAGATTTTTCAGTATATATTGATACTAACAGATAGCTTTTTTTGTGACATATTGTTGAGTCTATAGTGAAAAAACTCATTAAACTTGAGTACGCCTGCCGGATAGATATTGTAAGTACCGTACGGTAAAGCTTAAGCGAGGCCTGGAGGCTGGTTGACAAAATTACAAAATTGACTGGCGTTATTGCGCATCTTTCTTTTGTAGTGACGGGAGGTAGAATCGGTAGAAACAAGAGAATTTATATAATCGGTTAATTTTTAATGTCCTTATCTTCTTAATATTTCAATCAATTTGTTATGTATGATAACGCTGGTATGTATGATACTTACAATGTTCTCCTTTGCCACTATGACAGGAGCCATCATGTGACAGTTTCATTTCTGCTTGCAAGCTGATTAATTATGCTTGTATATCTCACTGAGGTTGTCTCGTGAGATATACTGTAGTGTTACACATTTTACGAGTTTTATTTTCTAATAAAATTATAACTTTCTCGCTACCTTGGCAATACCGTTGTAGAAGTTAACGTCGCTTTCACAATTTCCTCGATAGTCTTCTTCAGGTTGACAAAATTGCGACGTGTGTCTGTGCTCGTCAGAAGTGTTATGGGATTTTGCGCTTATAGGGGGATTGTTCCTGAGCGCCCCACCGCTGAGCTCGCGGTGTCTGACTGCAGGTCTCAGTTGTGGGGTTGTTATTTGTAGTTAGAATTTCTTACATTTGCCTTCTCTGTCTCTCTCGCACGGGAGGCCGTGTAAGCTACCTCTTGTTCGAGTGTCTTAGTTTCTGTTGCTTTTCACTTGTCACTTCGTCTCTTTTAGATGCCAACGCTGCTTCCTTCAAGCCAGCTTCAGCGGGCCGGACATCTGAGACCTTCCGCCCCTTGTGGGTGATGATTAATTTGGGATTTTTGAATAACTGAGACCTTCCGCCTCGCTGGCGATGTTATACAGGGTGTCCCAAAAAAAAAAAACGATACCCAAATTTGAATGGCTGTAACTCGAAAAGTAATAGAGTTAAAAAAATTTGAAAAGTCAGAATTTGTTCCCTATGTTTTTCTCCACCTCTTCACCAAAAATCTGACAGATCGATGTAGCCATAAGCGTTTGATAGAACTTTCAGTGACATGTGCTAAAATCGTGCTTGCGCAAAGTTTTAGTAAGATCATTTTGCATAATCATTACGTTGTCTTGACATGTTTTCTTTTCGTTGTTTTACTTTTTAGCGCATTTTCTCATTTATGAAAAAATGCACTATTGTGCTCGCCATGTCCGTCTGTCCGTCCGTCCTTCTGCCCGTCTGTCTGTCCGTCCGTGACTTCATGTTTTCGTCAACGAGACAATGCGCTCTCTGTCACTCACTGCAGTGAGTACTGAGTTGCATTTTTTGTATCTTTGGTGACACAAAAACATGGCAATCTTTGGTGAGAGACAATCTTTGGTTTTGAAATTCTCTCTCACCAAAGATTGCCATGATTGTCTCACCAAATATTGCCATGATTGTGTCTCACCAAAGATTGTCATTATTGCCTCTCACCAAAGATTGTCATGATTGCCTCTCACCAAAGATTGCCATGTTTTTGTCTCACCAAAGATACAAAAAATGGATCTCAGTACTCACTGCAGTGAGTGACAGAGAGCGCATTTTCTCACCGACGAAAACAAAGTCACGGACGGACAGACAGACAGACGGTCGGACGGACAGACGGACATAGCGAGCACAATAGTGTATTTTTTTCATAAATGAGAAAATGCGCTAAAAATCAAACAGCGAAAATAAAACATGTCAAGACAACGTAATGAGTACTCAAAATGATCTTACTAAAACTTTGCGCAAGCACGATTTTAGCACATGTCACTGAAAGTTCTATCCAACGCTTATGGCTACATTGATCTGTCTGATTTTTGGTGGAGAGATGCAGAAAAACACAGGGAACAAATCCTGACCTTCCAACATTTTTAAACTCTATTACTTTTCGAGTTACAGCCATTCAAAGTTGGGTATCGTTTTTTTTGGGACACCCTGTATTATGACCTCCGGTGCGAAATAGCTTAATACTAATTGAAGCGCTCGCTAATCATTCTACCTACACTACTACTACTACTACTACTTCTCGTTAATCATTGGTGAATTTCAATTCCTGATAATTTGTTCAAAATTTGCAATGACAAGTCATTGACGTCAAGCGCGCAATGATATCACGTATCATAGTGTAGTCATTTCGGTGAAAATATAGTCCAAACTTACTTGTTCCCTCATATTTAATTTCTATTATCACCGTTGCTGAATATTATGCCACGAAAGTTTTGATTTCTAAATTATGCACTAAATACAATTTCCTTAATTAAAATCCGGATGAATTTGCCCGCCGTATTTGACATTGGCATGCTGTATTACTGCTTGCATTGCAACCTGTGCAGCCGACCTAATCAAGGTAGAGGTTTTGATTAGACTTACTTGACCGATTCCGGTTCGAGCTTCGGTCGACTACGGACGTGTGTATGTGATAGAGTGAGTACATTTTTGAATCGGTGAATAAATAGAAAAAAGCTGTTAGAGTGTTAGGTACCAATTAAACCCAGTTTAGGCAAGGGGCTTTATGGACTAGCTTCCAGTGCTCCTATAAGAATAAATTAGAAAGAAAGAAAGAACCTGTGCAGCCGCAGCCTTTACTCTTGGACCCTCATTCTCCCATCTCCTACAAAGCTACGGTACAAATTCCAATTATCTGCGCATCAGGCAACAAAGCAACCTAAAGTGCCAGCTGCCAGGCAGGTAGCTAAGAATCGAATTTATTTTCACGTCCATGTTAATGAATAATGATGTTATAGCTGTGACTGTGAGCCTGTGACAAGTGGTAGCCTAATTTATTTACAGCACTTTTTTTAACAAGCCATCACTCATAACCACGACAATCATGCACTTCATCTTCATGATGATGAATATTGATGATGATTTTGTGTCCTGTAAATTGAGTTTAGACTGTAGCTTTAAAATTAAACTTATAGGTAATGAAAGATGATAATAAGCTCAAAATTACTATTCAAAATTTACAACAGTTGTTAGCCTACTTTTTTTCCATCTGACTTTATCAAATTTATGTTTCATTTATATAGGATCAATAGAAAGAATATATTTACACAGAACTGAACCAAATCTTTCTGGCATAACCAAATTTGCTTTGTAGTCTGAAGTCTGAACTTCAAAGAGTGAAGCCATTATCATTATGCAATTTGTGTGGTTATTGAATAGTGAACTATTTAAATTGTAGTTTGTACTTTGTAGTTTGTACCAATATTATATGGATTTTAATGACAAGTGGCTGCTGTCAATGTTTGTGTTAAATTGTGCAGATGCAGTTTCTACTGAGTCCTATACATAGTGACAAACCAGAGATTTTTTAGAATCAATTCATTTTTAATTTCCTCATTTACTCAAGACCTAAACCAATTTCTTATGTAAGGTAATGCTGGTATCCATGATACTTTACTGGTCTACTTATAGGACTCAAAAATGAACTTGAGGGAGAGTCTAAAAAACTCTCTGCTTTGCCACTATGGTCCTATATATTAGACGCCCGGACGCATAGTGGCAAAGCAGAGAGTTTTTTAGACTCTCCCACAAATTTGATTTTGATTACTATAAGTAGACCAGTAAACTTGAGTAAAGTATCATGGATACCAGCATTATCATACATAAGAAATTGGTTTAAATATTGAGTAATTGAGGAAATTAAAAATGCACTGATTCTAAAAAATCTCTGGTTTGCCACTATGCCCGGACGGTAATAGACCTAGTCACCTAGCCTATTTGGATTATCAGGCAGAAGTTTCCTAAAATTGCGACAAAATGATTGTTTCATGGGCAATTTTTAAAAATTGCAGATGGAAATAGGCCATTATTCATATTTTTATGGAAAAATTGACTTAAAATCTATAGGAATGGATGAAATGAGTGAGCTTTCCTAGGCATTTTTTCCAATTCATAGGTAATTTCAATAATTATCTGTTTTGGGATAATAGAAATTGAATATGAAATTTTCGTCCTTGCAAATCATATATTCTGGCTGTAAATTGTTGAATTTTTGATAAATTTGAAATTTCACAGTGCAATTGTGCAGTTTAATTAACAATTAGATTTAGATACAAGATAATTTATCAAGCCAAAATTTCCTGGCTTCAACAATGGCTGGGAATCTTTTGTCATGGCCCAAATCAAGCATGGAAAACATCTGCCTTTAGGGCGAACTAGAGGTTTCCCGCCATTTCTGAAACCGCGAGATTTCTGTCAGATGAATTACCTCCTATCCAAATGTTAACAAAAGTGCACGATCAAGCCGCGAGATTCCAAATGTATTGAAAATTCGTCATGTTGAAGCCGCGAGATTTCAGAAACAAATAGAAAAATTCCAATCCTGGCCCAAATGGTAGACACTAGATATGTACCGCCCCCAAAAAATTGTAACTAAAGACCCTTATTTTGCAGGATGAGGAACATTATAAATAAATTAAAATTGAATTCTGCAGTACAATACAAGGAATGAAATCTGTACAATGACTTTACAGCAGGGAAGTTGTCAGCTAAATGTCAGATGCATAAAACAAAAGCAGCTACTGAAGCAGGAGCAAAACACAATGTTCAAGTGCTTCACACTGCTTAACTAACAAATATAACATGAGTGCGATGAGTGCAGCAGTTAGATAGTTAGTTTGACACCAGAGCAACTTCACTTTAATCTTTTGTTCAAAGCAAAATATAAGCATTGGTTTGAAGTCAAAAAGATATTGTTTTGTTTGAAAGTGCCTATCACTTAACCCTTTAGCGGGCAAGCATTGAAATATCCAGAAATTAAAATTTCAGAAACCATTTCAAGAAAGTAAGAAGTATTATACAATATATTTATTTCTACGAACGCATGAAAATTTTGCCTATTGAAGGTTTAAATCGCACTTGAAGAATTCAATAAATGCGATCAGTACATAAAATTTTTCTTTATAATTAAAATTCATTTTATGCAAATGAAAACTTAGAAACATAAAAATTTAATTTATACTTCCACCTTTCAAAGAAAATGCGGAAAGAGCGTCAGTTCCATTGTCCGAGTCAGAACCTTCATTTAAATGCTCATATTTCAATTTTTGGACTTTGCAGTTGGTGATGCTATAGATAGAACAATGGTCAGATAATTAGTAATTGACTGAGGCATTATAAGGATGCCTCAAAAACAATCAGGAAGCCGTGGTGAGGCTTTTTGTGACGCGATTTCAAGTGATCATATATGGTAACTTATCCATGAAAGGGTTAAGAGTCAAGTATTCGGCTCATGGTGAAATATCTCAAATTTTGTGGCCTTAGTCTGAAGAAATGTAAATTATATATTTTTCTGAATGGCTTTTATTTTTGAACAGTTGTCATCTAATTGGTTATTGCCTTCATTACTGCCTACTGGTGCTGTTATGGCTTTGTAGTCTGTGTATTACTATGCCATTAGCACCACATAGTTGTATATGAGAATTTTTTGTTGACATTCCTGTGAGGGCATGGTGTCCCCCATATTCACTCCCATAGGATATTGATCAAATTTTGAACTTGATCATGTAATAAGAAGTAAACTGAGTCTAAAACATCCCTCATTTGCCACTATCTATCTGTTGTACCTATAAGGCTATATATGCACAAGCACAGTTTTAGCAGTGTCTAACAAATGTAACAAAATATATTAAATTGGGTTTATTTACTGATGCATAATAATCACATTCAATTATTAATACCGTAAAATGAGGTGACTTGGACCATAGACAGGGTAACTTGGACAATTGACGGGGTAACTTGGACAATTGACGGGGTAACTTGGACAATTGACGGGGTAACTTGGACCATTGATGGGATAACTTGGACCATTGACAGAGTAACTTGGACCTTTGACATGGTGACTTGGACCATTGATGGGTTGACTTGGATCTTTTTGAGATTTAAGAAAAGAAAACCCTATTCTCAACAAATTCTTGCCTTGAAATAATTGCATTGATGGCTCTTTGAAGTACCATGAGATGAACTACAAATGCCATAAAGATACGTACCCTATTTTATGTATAGGTATTTACTACGTGACTATCACAAAAGGTAATCACTAAAACTGGTCCAAGTCACTCCGTTTTACCATATTAACCTTGCTCATTAGTCAATACATATGCTACCTAGTGAAATTCAGGTAAAAAATAGTGTTTACATATCTACTACATAAAGTATTTGTGATGATAAATCAATCATTGATTTGTCAGCTTAGCACAAATCTAAGGTTGCTAAGCATGCTTTGTTGTATGGGCCCAGCATGCAGCAACCATTTTAGTTCTGTGCAAAGAATAAAGTAAATTTTAGGAAAATTAACAAACTTTGTGGTAAGAAATAGATATTCCTCCTAAATTGGGACTTGTGACTTGGGACTGAAGCTTAATTTTATGCATGTATGAAAATGTAGTATGTCTTTCAGGGAAGTGAAAGTTCCAATTAGGTACTGAGTGGCAACTTCTGTTAGATTGATGAAAGAGTGCTAGGTAGACCATTGGTCCATTCTCTACAGTCATTGTTCCACTCTCTACAGTTTTATAATTTTTGTTTTCACTTACCCCAATATTATAAAGCTTATTATACAAATTAAAATATAGACCCATACCCCAATATTATAAAGCTTATTATACAAATTAAAATATAGACCCATTTGCTAGTTTAGTACCATTCAATTGAAAAGAAAAGAATTTTACTTCTAAAAATTAAGTACCTACTAAAGCAAATACTTCATTACCAATTGTGGTGTCAATTGTTATATAATATGATGGAAAGCCAGTAAAATTCTGAATGTCATTTAATTAAGGTTAAATGTGTTATGTAAATTGATTATATTAATAATCAATTAATATTATTAATTGATAATATATAATAATATAATAATAGATAATTGATAATATAATATAAATATTAACAATAATATTATTGAATTATCAATAATATTTAATAGCTTGAGTCTGAGAGAGATAGAGTTTGAGACATAGCAATAGAGATTTACAGTTTAGAAATAGAAAATAATTAACCTAATGTATTATTTATTTTGCAATTCTTCTCTGTTCAATGTGTTCACACTTTTTAGTTATTGATTTCTTGAGTAAACTTGTTTAGAAATGTGCTTGCAACTTGATATATTTAAAATATAACACAAATAGATTTATATGGAAATGTGCTTGCAACTTGGTATGTATAAAATATAAAATAAATGTGTTATTTTTCTTTCCAGAGTGCATGTGTGATGATGGTTCCTGATGAGTCTGAAAAGATGAAAAATGGAAGTGCCAGTGGAGGTGCGTCGTGCAGCAGCGGTGGTAATCAAGGTCTGATCCTGCCTCTGCAGCGAGTAAAGATGATCATGAAGAGCTGCCCTGATGTAGAGACAGTGCCTCAAGAGTCACTTCATGCTGTGGCCAAAGCTACAGAGTTATTCATTGCTCATCTAGCACAAGAATCGTTCAAGATAGGAGGTGCTGCATGCCACCGACTTGACTATGACAATCTTTCTGATGTTGTCAAAACCAACCCAAAATTGGAATTTCTCCATGAAACAGTCCCTGGTAAAATTACATGGGCTATGTGCCAGAAGTTGATGTCTGAGAAGAAGTCCAATATTAGTGACTTTATTTGAGTTTTATTCCAGCTTATCATAGTATAATTAAAATTGCGAAGTTTTTTCTTAACCTATAATGTTGGATCTCATATCAGTTTAACTCACCGCAGAGAGCAGCAATGCTGACAGGAGTAAGTGGATGTGCTCCCGGTCTCTAATCCAAATAAATCGTTGTAGTATATATATATATTATTATTTAGAACAATTGTATTTAATGTTGCTTGTGAATGTGTGATAAAGAAAGTTATTTATCTGTTCGAAATCATCACTGATAGTTGATGCAGTCACTCTATAGAACATTCAATAAGTTTTTAATTCCACAGAATTAAGTCCTATAGATCATTGAAATGAAGCTCATTGATTGTGGGTCTTAAGCTGACGATTGGATGCAACTCTCCTGGCTTTGCATAAAAGTCTGCTTCATAAATTGCACAAGTTTTTTTAAATATGTAAATTGGACTAGCTTGATCCTATCGTGGGATCAATCAGTTTTGTTCATTATTCATTGATGAGTTGAGGAATACGCTTGATGAGAATTAGATAACATTTTAATTCAATATTATGCAATTTCTTGTTCGCGTGAATTTATGATGCAAGATGTGAAGACATAAGGTTACATTTAGTGAAGTTCCAGCTAAGTTTTGAGTTATATTCTTCTGGTTTTATTATCTACAAGAATAATTTTATTGACTAACCATATATTTTTATCTTGAGCCCATGAAAGATTTTTGTGTAATAATTTTTCATAGAATATATCTTGACTAGTTCTTTCCTACTCCGGCGCGTAGTGGAGTTAACATTAACTGATCAAGTGTGTAGAGCAAGGTGATAATGGCCGATGAAGGCGATGTAGGAGTGGTCGGCAACACAACCGTGGCGGTGGAGGAGCCACTAGACCTCATCAGGCTGTCACTGGACGAGCGACTGTATGTCAAGATGCGCAACGAGCGCGAGCTGCGGGGCAGACTTCACGCTTACGACCAGCATCTGAACATGGTGCTGGGCGAGGTGGAGGAAACCGTCACTAGCGTCGAGGTGACTGCTTTGTGTCGAATAAAACTAACTCTTATAAATATTTCAAGTCTGAACATATGTTTTTCCATAACTTTTTCTAGTCTGTTCTTGAACGCATTTATAGCGGGAGCTTCAACAACGTAATCAGAGAGGCCTGTTTACCTTTTAAATGCAATGTCTACTAACTTGTCCAATGTCACATTGTATGTCTGTTAGTGCCACTACTACCGATTTTAACTACCAAGAACTATTGTATCCATTGATGTCACTTCGAACGATTTTATTTAGGCAAAACTGGTACCTATATTAATTTATGTAATATTGAATTAGCTAACTAATAGTTTCTTATACACCTGCCGATATCACCGAGTTGTTCGAGTAGCCGTACAATAAGACAACGTGTGTTTACGAGGCCAAATTATCAACACACAGTTCCCAAATTTCGGCAAGTTTCTGCTTTTTATTTATTTCCTCTACGAATAATAAATAAATCGCCACTTTTGATGAGTGCAGTGTTGGTTGATTTAATAACTTTCGTATGGAGCACTACATTATGCACAACGTGCAGGTGGACGACGAGACGTTCGAGGAGGTTTACAAGACGACGCGGCGCACCATCCCCATGCTCTTCGTGCGCGGCGATGGCGTCATCCTCGTGGCGCCGCCCATGCGCGGGGCACCTCCCTAGAGTCCTTACCTTGGTCGCGTGTCAGTTATAAGTAATTGCATAGGATAGTTTTTGAATGTGGTCTAACATCATCTATGGGCAGTCTTTTACAAGTAATTACATAGGATAGTTTTTGAATGTGGTCTAACATCATCTATGGGCAGTCTTTTACAAGTAATTACATAGGATAGTTTTTGAATGTGGTCTAACATTATCTATGGGCAGTCTTTTACAAGTAATTGCATAGGATAGTTTTTGAATGTGGTCTAAAATAATCCATGGGCAAATATTGTGACGAGTAAAAAGTGTTGTCATCAGGCACTTGTTCATCTGGGGAGATTTATTTCATCTTGAATTTGTCCATTTGAATTTTTCGAATTTGATTTTTTCGAATTTGATTACTCTAATTCGAATTTGACGATCTGTTAGGTTATTTCTGTATAACGTCAGTGGACTTGTAATGATCTCAAAGATCTTTGATGCAAAGTGCTACACATCATCGTATAATTTTTATTTGCATTGTTCTGGCTGGCGGAAATTCATAGTTTGGATGATCTAAGCGTTAATTATCCATTTTAATGTATTTTTTTTATTTAGTCAAGACAATTTCAATGTAAAGGCACAAATATGTCATGCCTTATTGTTAATGCTGTGTGAAATATTTTGTTTTAATTAATTCACTTTTGAATTGTGATTCATTTTGCAGCGTCAATATTCACTGCACTGATTCAGCAAAATTACTGCAAACGCCTGCGATTTAAAGCTTCGTTATGCCATCTATTTGAACTTACTTTTTTGCAAGTGCTGTACTTTCATAATAATAAATGAGTGAGCAAAAATGTTTGACATCGTCATCAGTTTTTCTTTGTTAAATGGTAGGACTTCTGTTCACGCCGAACGTTCACATTAAATAGGCTGAGTCTCTTTTTAATTATTATCCATAACCGGGCAGACTTGCATAATAATCTTAATCTGAAACGAGTAACCGAAAAATAATTCTGCTCACAACAAATCTCATGGAGAGAAGTTGTTTAAAATGCTGCGAACAATTGAGTTCTCTTGAAAATTGGCTTTACTTTCTCTAGGCAGGATACCACCCAGTGCTCTGGTCCTTTGTCTTCAGTATACTGTATACCACCCAGTGCTCTGGTTCTTTGTCTGCAGTATACCACCCTGTGCTCTGGTTCTTTGTCTGCAGTATACCACCCAGTGCTCTGGTTCTTTGTCTGCAGTATACTGTATACCACCCTGTGCTCTGGTTCTTTGTCTGCAGTATACCACCCAGTNTATACCACCCAGTGCTCTGGTCCTTTGTCTGCAGTATACCACCCAGTGCTCTGGTCCTTTGTCTGCAGTGTACCACCCAGTGCTCTGGTCCTTTGTCTGCAGTTTACCACCCAGTGCTCTGGTCCTTTGTCTGCAGTATACCGTACCACCCATATCCGTAGACAACTGCGAAAAAGAGGCATAATCGTTAAAGACAAAACCTGAAGTATCAAGTAGCATAAACGATCCATGGGGATCAACAAAGGACTAAGAGTAGGACAAAATATATTTTTAGAAACGTTTTGTATAGTATGAGCGAATTCGACTGAATTTAAAGCAAATGGGCATAATAGTGTACGTAAATAGTTAGAAGATCGGGTAAGGGAGCTGAGGGCATATGGTCTTGCCATGAGAGTGATGAAAGGGAGGGCAAATGTTTTGTGCAAGCTGGGCTGTAAGGCAAAGGAGAGAAATGGAGTTATCTCTATTTCGAAAATGCAGTGATGTTACGGAGGCACGTGTTGTTTCTGTCGTTACAGGGGCAGCGTTGTGTGCTTAGTTGGAGATGACGTGATGTTGCTGCGAAACAGAGCTCTGTCAATTTTGAACACACGATTCAATCTGTTGAGTAAGCGAGTTATCACGTGAGCTTAAGGCATGGCACACAGAACCTGGCACTGTTTCTAGATTCCACCTATTACGGCTACACTACATTGAGCACAAATGAAGACAAGAGCAATCATAAAGGCGATGTTTCTAAGCTAGTCAACTTACCACGATCCTACCGGGGCAGCTGCAGGAATAGAAGTGAGCTGTAAGAGTTCTACCGGTACCAGAAGAATGTACTGGTTGAAAACGCAAATGGAAGAGCCATTGAGATGTAGGGTAATAATTCTTGCTTCCGAGAAGACGTATATGTTAAGGTGGTCGCCGGTATCTTGCTGGGTGTAGGGGGGTGTCGTGGCGGATCAGGAAGGAGTAGAGGCGGATGAACCTCAGGCCCGAACATAGCTTGTGAGTTCATTCGTTGTGCTAGGAGCACTGGAGAATGATGCCTCGTCATGTCATCAGTAGGGAGCTAACACAACAAGGGTGGGGGCTGGGTTAGGGTATAGTACGTGGATCAGGAGGAGGAGAGCGAATATAATGAAAAGGTGCTATAAGGACAAGCATGGATGGCTCTCTGGGAAAGAAGGAAGAGCGTGGCTAAAGAGAGTAAGCGGAGCGGGGCAAGGGGGCCGTGGTTCCTCGTCCCCTATAGAAAAACATAAGGGAGGTGCATTTTCCGGCTCACATAGATTAGGCTGACGGGGAGCCCTCTGCCGCTTGGTCTGGCCCTTGACGATGGCCAGAACCCTAGCCCATAGTGCATGTCCAGCACGGGCCACGACGAAGATGCATTAGAGATCGGAGGCATTCATTTTTGTCATTCTTCACTCCCCTCTTGACATGTTTCCCTTCTCTTTTGCTCACCAAATATTTGTTTTTGCTCTCAATTACAGTCACAGTTGTTTACACAGATAACCCCACGATCAATGGAATCCACTCCATCGTCATCGAACTATTATTTAGAATCAGCATGAAATGAAAGCGAGAAAAGTTCAGTAAAACGAAAGACTTTTCAAAATGCATCTAAATTTTTATAGGTTTGTTATTTCATGAGGCAACTAATTGGGTTCGTTTATGTAGGTAGCCGTATACCTAGAACGACTAAAAAGAAAGAGAACGCCGAGTGTCCTGCAATGATGGCGGAAGGGAACCAGCCCGAGATTATCGCCGATCTTTTTCAAGGTATATAACTGTTCCCATCAGTTCTACTTTTATATGAAGTTTTTGATGTTGAGTGAAATTAAAGATTTAATCTTATAATTATATCATATTCTTAGTATTTATTTAATATAGACAATATTTTATGGCTTATGCAATTCAAGCATTAGGTAGTCTACCTAGGCCAGGGCTTATTTTTTTAGAATTACATCATGATTTCACAACTGCAATTTTGTTCCACAACCCAATTTGTCAATTTCACTCGAGACCCTATTGTGTAAGAATCGCTTATATCTAAATTTAACCAGTTTGAATTGTAGAAATACCTACTGGCTCAAATATATAATAATGTCGATCCATGACAGATTGACAGACTGACAGTGATGGCACTCAGTCTCATCCTGCAGGCTGCAGCTGCAGTCTCTGCAGACTCGCTTCAAGTGACTTGCTTAGGGCTAATCTAAAATAATTCCATGATGAATTGAGAATTATTCAAAGGCCAGGCATAAAATCTGGAGGAATTCTGGTCCAAATGTGGAGAAAAGGGTGAAGTTAGGGGATTGGTGTTTCATTTGTTCTGGTCTAGACTCTGGAGTCTGGAGTGACCAGGATTAGAATTTTCCTACCTACTTGTTTCTGTAATCTCACAGCTCCAATGTGACAAATTTTCAATACATTGGAACCTTGCCAGACTGGAATAATGGGCAGGAGTCACCCGTACAAGAGCAAAAATCACCCGTCAACGAGGGTCAATTTTACCCGTGGCCATGGTTAATTTCACCCGTAGCCAATGGCCATGGGTTTCTTCACCCGTGGCCGGTGGCCATGGATAAATTTAACAGTGACGGAATATAGGGATTTGGTAGGTTTCCATTCTAAAGGCTTTTTAATAAATATGGCAACATTTTGTGACGTTTCATCGTTGCTGACGTGTAGTGAAGTGTTTTGAGAGTCATGTGAAGGCAACAGAACTTGCGTAATGCATACGTTTTTTTATAGTTTTTCATTTCTCGATGCGTCCTTAAAGTGTCGGAATATACCGCGTTTACCCTAATTTCTGAATGCAAATTGAGCATAGGCATAGCATAGCTTCACAATTTAATGAATGCCAATGGTAAACAGTCAAAATTTAACTCAGTTTAATATTTATTCTACTTATAGTGGAATGAATATTACTTTTCACATTATTTTTTTTCTTTTTTCTCCTGGCTGTAGTTCATAGAAAACTTTTTTACAAAAACGTTAAGACAGATTTGTACTGGAAAATTCATGTGACAAGTTTATATGTTTTACTTTGAAAATTATCATTTCAAGTAATGAATTTCACTTTCAATGAAGCATGGAAATATGGGAGTATAACTTTTATGATAAATTTTAGCCTGAACATGTCCCTAATGAACAAAATTAGCAATCAACAGTTCTAGGTACTTTTTGTACCTAATGAACACTCCATTAAAATGGACTGCCTGGTGCTTGGTCAAAATGGGCAAGGCAACGTCAGCAGCAAGCTGTGTAAGCAGCTGCGGCACCTTGCCAAATTTTGGCCTTTAAAAAATATTGAAAATTGATGTTTTTGCATGGATTTCAATGCTGTTAACATTGAGAAACTCTAAGGTATTTCTCATACAAGAAATACTTGCTGAATAAATTTTGATTTAAATATAAATATCACTTGAAAACTGAGTGGTCTGAGCTATCCAACTTGGATTGCTCAGTTTTGGAGTGACGTTTTTATCCAAATTAAAATTTATTTGGCAAGTATTACTTTCATGAGAGATACTTAGTACTGTAAAATGGGGTAACTTAGACCACTTTTTTCTTTATAAATGATGCCATTTTTTTACTAGCTAAATTAAACTTGAATTGAAATATGCAAAATACAGGTCTATACTCTAGCTTCACTCACCATAAATTGCTGGCTCCTGCCTCTCATAGTCTTTACATAATTTCAAAAAAAGTGATGGTCTTTGCTACCCCAGCTCTTGGGGTAACTTGGACCGGGTGGTAAAATAAATTATATTTTTTGGTAAAATAACTCCAGGTTTTGGTGCATTGTAGTAGAACTCTTCTAGTTACATATGCAAATGACAAACTTGAGAAAAGTGTCATAGTTTGCAAATAGGGGGCACCACCCCATAATGAGGGAAATGTGACTACCTAATGGCGGCCCTGATGGGGTAATATTGACTGGCTTGGAAATTAAGTTAAAATTACCATATATAAGACTCTGTAGAGTCTGAAACACAAAGAAAAAACATAAATAGGCTGTCAGACATAAAATATGTTATATATGGTAATTTTATATTAACTTCCAAGCCGGCCTATGTTACTCCGTCAGGGCTGACATTAGGTGGTCTAAGTTACCCCATTTTGGGGCAGCGCCCCCCATTTGCAAACTATGACAATTTCCTAAAATTTGTCATTTGTATTTGTAACTAGAAGAGTTCTACTACAATGCATCAAAACCTAGAGTTATTTAACCAAAAAATAAAAAAATTGGAGGGGGTACTCTGACAGGCTTTAAATAATAGCTTTTTTTTGTGGGTCACATTTTTAATTTTTTAACCTATTAGATATGCAAACTTTTTACATCTTTCTATTGTGTTATGTAGCCTCAGTATTAGGCCTTTAATGCCCATTGACAAAATTTTTCTATGTCAAATAGTTTTTGAGTTGTGGGGGTTTTTGTTAAAAAAACGAAAAGTGGTCTAAGTTACCCCGCCGGTCTAAGTTACCCCATTTTATGGTAGTAGCTCTTGTGTGTCATGAGAGATATTTGAAGTATCAATCAATGTTTGCAGCACAGAAATCGATGCAAAAACATAAATTTTTATTATATTTAAGCTGAAATTTAGGCTCCTAAGGACTTGAAACCAAGGCTTTTGATTT